GAGGGGGTGGGAGGTAGGTGTGATATGCAGACTTCACCTTACCCATTCAGTCGGAAGACTCAAGAAGAAACCTGATCATGCGATTGAAGCGCATGACCATGGATTTCTGTGATTTTCCCCTGTAAACTCATTGTCTGATGTGTAGTAACAAGAGTTATTTTTACACCATTAGTGCTTATATTGACCTAAAGAAATAAACGTTTACTAATTTTTGTCCTATGACAATCTGCACTCATGAAGGTATGATGTGTTTGTTCCTCCTCCTATTGCTTGTCAAGATATAGCACAAGGAAACCTTGTGCAAGAAGTAAGTACTTTAACTGCTGTAATAGTATTTGTCTCGGAAAGGTTATGCACCATCTAGTGATGCATGTTTAGGTTCAGGGCTTACATTATCATGCAGAGATTCACACTGTTGCATGATACTGTGTCAATTCTAGATCCCTATTATAAAATAACATTTTTTTTATTTGGAGTCACAAACTATTGTAAGTTGCATATGATTTCTGATATTAGGGTCCATTCTACTTATGAAAAGATAAGCTTTATAAAAGAAAGTCATTCTTTAAAAGCACCTGCAATAGTTTGTCTATTTAAAGAAAAAAATCCATGAAATTGTTTGACTAACAACCCCAGGGCTCGAAAAAAACTTGAATTCCAGCTTGCTTTTGGCACAAGTATCTCTCAAATATTGCTTGCCCTGGGCAAAATCATAGTTTGATCTTTTAATGAATTAGTCGGCAGATGACTTGCCTGATCCCAGCTTGCCCATCAGGTAATGAGAGGGAAAAGGTACTTGCCCAGAAGGAGAATCTACTTGTCCCGGACAACCGAATGGCACTTTTTTTGAGCCCTGACCCATGCTTATATCAATTGTAGATGCTGTGGTTTAGCAGTGGAGGAACCAAGTCTGTTCTTCACAATGATCATGCAGAAAACATCATGTGTGTATTCAGGGGGACCAAGGAATTCTTTTTGATAGACAAGGAATATCAGGAACTGGTATAAAATTAGTTTGTAATTATTTTAACTCAAAAATCTGAAACATTAGCCAGAATATTTGACCAAAGGGGCCAATCAGAATGAGATTACTTTCTATAGTGTAGAACCTTCCTGGGTCAGTTGTCCCAGATGAGATGCTAGCAGCGAGTCCATTGCACGTATTCACCCATCATAAGGTTGAGTTGAGCTAGGCAGTTTAATTGAGAGCACCATCTGTATTCCTGGGTGTCTAAGATGAAATATCTTGCTCAAGGATGTAAAACAAATGATCCTGATCAGTGGCTGAAACATTGAGGACCACTCAATCCTAAGACTAGCATGCCCACTAGATTAATAGGCCTGTGTCATTGACTACATGTACCTCAAAGTCCCAAGAAGAATCAGTGATCAATCCAGTTATCTGTGCTTCTAAGACTAATATTATTAGAAAACAGTCCTAAGAAAATATGCATGCTGATTGGTTAAAAATCGTGTTTCTATGACTCGATAGAAACACAGAACTAGCATGAGCTCAGTTGACATAATGATGGCGTGAGCAAAGAGAATTTACATTTTGATAATCAAAGTTAACAAATTGTTTTCCTTTTTATCGTTGCGGTGTTTTCTAAAAGAAATAGAAAACATGTTCTCCGTGTTTCTATCAAGTTATAGAAACACCCGTGAAAGTTTGGGAGAACTCATGCGGCTTGTGTTCCCACCGCATTTCTCGTTCTCCCAAACTTCCACTCGTGTTCCTATAACTCGATAGAAACACTCAAACACTGGAACCACTCAAACAGAATAAGACACAACTTTCACAAATCAAAAATCAAAAAATAAAAAGAACAAGAACAAAAACCGTTTTTGGCGATTTACTCTGTTAATTTTGTATTATTTGATGGGAAGCATTTTGTAAATTGTTTCTGTGGGTGATTTTAGATTTGACTACTCCATTTTTGCACAAATCTTTAAGGCTTGTCACTCCTGGGGGATATGTTGTGACGTAAGTTATTATTTATTAAAATTGATGTCATAATATTTTATGTTAACAATCTTACTGCCTTAAATAATGAATTGCACAGACGATATTTAACCTGTGGTAATAAAAATATTTTGCCGTCATTTTCTGTAGGTTAATGTGACAGAGCGTGGGTATTCTCAGGTAGATGTTGACAGGTTTGTATATTTGGCTGTGATTATTACAATGCACACATTTAGAAAGCTTTGTAGTTGTGGCCATGCAAAGCACAATTTGACGGCTGATAATGCTTTCAAGTAGCTAATATTGTACTAAACTTTTAGCACGATGGTAACAAGGAAGAAGAATTATATCCAATATTCTGAACCAGTGCTGTCAAGTGAACTTTTTAAAATGTAGTTTCTAAGGCAAGAGTTGTTCTTTATTGTACATAATTAATAGTGTTTATCTGTGACAACACTTGAGAACATGTACCCTGAAGGCTGGATGGGGTGTACCATGTTTAAGAGATGTAAGACTGTCTGATGGCTTCTTCATTTACTGCATTTGTTTTAAAAGTAATGCATTGTACCCTTATAGTGTACGGGTGTAGTGATCATATACACACATGTGCATGTGCACACCTCGGGAAATCTAAGGAATAAATATATTTATTGATTTATTGGCGAAAAGCCTCTTAGAGAAATAATTAAATTGGCTTGTTTGACTTAAAGTTCTTCTCATTATATTACGGTGATTTTGCAAATATGAAATACAGAATGAAACTTTCAAACATTAGAAGTGCTAATCCAGCTCAATGCTGAAGTTCAAATCCCAATATACCTTTCCCACATTCCACTTTGAATAGTGCTTACTAACAACAGCACCAGAGCGAGGTTGGGGTGGACATTTTCACACATCTGCTGTGTTTTTGTCCACCCTGACTTTGATTCGGCGCCATTTTTTGTTGGAATGTGGGAAGGGTCTGTTAGCTTATCATGTAAATGTGATCAAGATGAAATGAGAGATTATATGGACAGGTGGGTTACCCCACCAAGCTTATAGTATTAGTTATAGGCAGGTTACCCCGCCTACCCTGGGTTTGCCACCTCAATTAGTCACAAATATTTGTTTGTGAGTGGTAATGCTTTTAATCATTTGTATACATGTACATACACTGGAATGTAACATGTTAATCCGGTAGTCTTTTGTATAACTTAATTTAGGGTTGACCTGTTCAAGTATCCTGGACTCCACAATATAGAACATCACTTTGCCTTCATAGAACCTGGTGACTGTCTTTATGTACCTTTTCTTTGGTAAGTAGATTTTTACCCATTTTATCAGCGACAATGATTTTGTCTCTAATTCTATAGATTAATCACTAATTGTCATAAAAATTGGCCATATTCTTAACAGATTGGGTACCCAGGCAAATGATGTTATTGATGGAATAAAATTAATTATTCTATATTAATTAACTTCTTGTATTATCAAGGTTCTGTTATGTGAAGTGCCAATAAACCAGCAAGTAGAGAATGATAAAATGACAATGAATGACATGCCTTAATTGTGTTGAAATTCTGACAGCAGCACAAGGACCTTCTGCAAACTATATTGCGACAAACTTCAACATGTATAACCCAGTAACAGGACCTCACTATTTTGTTTCACTTTATAAACAACCTGTATAGTGTAATGTTTACATTTCGTAATCTAACTTCTAGAGACACCCTATGGACATTCTTAACAAGCGCATTCTTAGATTCATACTAAAGGACTTAATGACGTGCCTAGGGTAATTTACTGGATAAAATTAATTTAAAACCTCTGTATATAAGACGCCTTCAAAATATTTTAGTTATACTATATAAGAGTCTCTTTTTTGATAGCTATTCAAGATATTTAAGTAATATGTTTACTCTACATTCTACAACCTATAGTTTACGTGGTAATTATATTCTGTCTCTTCCTGATCTGAAAACAACAACTTACAGCATGCATTATCATATTTAGCTGCTAAATTATGGAACTCTCTTCTGGACTCACTTAGAACTTCTACTTTTGCGGACTTAAAGGAAAAGATATTACAGTATGACTCTTTTCAGTAGCATTGCAACTTTTATCTAGTTTTATTATGTACAAAGTTCAGCACATTCATAATTTTTAGCATGTTTATTGTATGTTGTATTTTGTTGTATTTGAGTTACTTGAGAGGAAATAAAGTATACGTATGTAACTATGTGTATGTTTACAGGTAAGTGTAGTTAAACTGAAAACAAAAAAATAAATAAATATTTGTTTACTGTGCCTGTGGGCTGTTAATTAAATATAATTTAATTATGATAATTCCTCTTTCTTGAAGCTAATTTTTAGCCTCAGGAATTGGGAATTATCATAAATAAATTAAATGCTGTTGCAAAGTATTGATCTGCCCATTAATATCCAGTAATGTAGCAAAACTGCAAGCTATAACAGTTTTTAGTTCCAAGAATTAACACTTAGAATTCTCCTGATCAGTCTTGATCCATGCCACTTATGTAACTCATCTTGTGAGAATTTGGTATAATAATCATAATCATAATCATAATCCTAATCCTAATCATAATCATAATATATTTATATAGCGCCTTTTCCACAAGATTCAAAGGCACTGCTTGCACTAATGAAATAGAAAAAATAAAATTTAAACTACTTACATTATAAGTTATAGGCTCGAATAAACTGGAGAGTCACGAGTTGGCATTTAAATTCTCTTCAGTACTACTTAATTTAACATAATGTGGCAGTTCATTCCAAAGTTCAGGAGCAACAACTGAAAAGACCTGTCTACCATAGGAGTTCAGATTAAAATGAGGTTCAACCAGTAAATTCTTAAAAGAGCATCTTAGACCGAGGCTGGGGTTGTATGGTCAAAGGAGTTCTTGTATGTAGGTAGGAGCTTGTCCATGCAGGGTCTCTTATCAGGGCATGCATAAATCTGTTTGTCATGATTAATACCGGTCACTTTCCAGTGTGAATGTGATAGCTATTAACAATGTTTAATATTAAACTTATCACTCCTGGTTATTAAGGTTCAGTATAACCGGTTTATATTTTGCTGTGTAGGGTACATCATGTGCGATCTAATGATGTGAATATAGCTGTTAATATCTGGTGGAGGCATGGGGTGGAAGTGAACTTCAGTTACTGTGATGCACAGCCAGGCAGAACAATTAAAGATTTGACATTTATTGGATTTGGAGCTCTTCATGAAGCCCAGGAGAAGTTGATCAGGTATGATTAGTAATCGTGTTGTTTTGATCTTGTGATAGTCAGGTACAAGGATTTATGTAATTGTTTGTAGTTTTGGTTATTGGTTTGGTTCCAGATGGGGGAGGGCTCAACTAAGATATTCATTTTCATTAATTATTTATTTAAATTATTTTTATATTCTTCAAACTTAAGTTGTTATTATCACAGTGTCTCTCAAGACTGCTGTCAACCCTGTTGGGTGGAAGGGGGGTGNAAGATAGCCTGAGCTTTATCATCATTTCATTCATGGCATGTTGTGCAATAATGCTGAATTCACTTCACATAACAGACACTGGAAGTGTTTAGTGAGCGTTAATATATGTTATGTTACTTCTTCAATCCCCTCAAAATGTTTACTGTTGATCTTGCTGTGACTGGTTCGACAGCAAAAATATTGTTTTTTCATTGAGAGAGTTGCAAATCTACTCTACTGAATACAAATTTTAATTTGGTTAAGACAACCGTCTACATTTCCTACACTTCCATAGTCAGCCAGCAATATTAATGCTCTGGTTTATAGTCTGTCACTTTTTTGGCGATATTTCTCCTTTATGATTTGTTTCATGTTTAAGTTATACTGCTTTAGATTTGGGGTTCCTTTTGGGTGGACAGTCGTGATCGACACAACCGTGTAAATGTCATAATTTGAGTTTACTGAATGTCCTGAATGAAATGAACCCTTTTTCTCCAAAGAAACCGTTTAGTTCAGGCTGCCAAGCTAAGTCACAATGACCTAACTCTTGAAGGACTTCAAGATTTCTTCATACAGGTGATTATTGAAGTAGAACTCTAGGTAAATTAGTTTTCAGTGAGTGATGTCTGCAAGCATACACTCAATACTTCACTATTGATAGGAAAAAGGATTTTGTCCACCACAATTATCGTAAACCTTCATTTGCTGGGCATTGCAAGCCATTTTGTTTTTCTCTTGTAGCCGGATGTTTTTGGACCTGGTGTGCAATGGACTGATGGCATGCTTGAAGTTGTTAAAAAGGTGATTTATCGGTTCCAATTGGGCTTTTTTTCTTTGGTTTGACATGCAACTTGCTCTATAGCAGCGAGTGTCACGTGCTGTACTTAAGCAATAGAACACTTTTTCCGTGTTTACATAGCCTCATCTAAACACGAGGGGGGTTTGGAGAATTCAAGACAGTTATGCAAACCTGAGATGTAGTTGAGGGTTTGCATAACTTTCGAGAATTCTTCCAACCCCGAGTGTTTAGATGAGGCTATGTAAACATGGAAAAAGTGCTCTATTGCTTTTATAAAATAAAACTCAAAAATACGCGCAAATCTAAAACGTCACAACCGTGTTTACGTACTCTCATCTAAACACACCCATCGACCAATGAGAGCACGCGTAGTAGCTCAGTTATTTTATAACATCCTTTTTTATACCTTTCCCACACTTGTCATGGGATACTTGTCTTTGCTTTGACACCTGATTGGCCGATGGCTTTTATTACGTTTGTTACAAGAAGGTAGCTGTATTTGGCAACCTTGTTCCCAGAGAGAGAGGACCCTGGGAACGAGATAGCGATTTTGGTTCCACCATGGGTGGTTCCACCACACTCAGTAGAAGACATTTCAAACTTGGGAGCCCTTAATGCAATTATAGCTTTCCTTTTGGTTAAACAGGTGCAAAGCCGAAACCTAAAAGGAACAGGCCAATTCCGAGTTTACTTGTGCCTCTGTTTCAAATTGAGTCTTCGTGCAAAACCTTTCATATGAAAATGAGTTTGATTTGCGTGAAAATGAACCTGTGGGCGATCCGAGCTCATTTTAATATGAATGTTTTCGCACTTAGACTCCTTTTGACACAGAGGCAAAAGCCAACTTGGAAGACTCAGCGACTTCAGGTTTATTAAGCTGCATGTTGCGGTTTTGCTATATGGTTGCAATTTGAAATGTACTTCATCTCTTGTAAATTAAAATGCAGGCTGTGACAGAATGTAATCATGTCGTCATGAAACGTACATGAGAACCGTGACAACGCGAATCTGTGTTTCTCTCCTGCGCACCTGTCACCGCGACTGATACTCTATTTTTGTGTTTATTCTAGTGTGTTATTTCATCTAAGATGTTTGGAAAAATACCGTTGTCTGGGTTGTTGGTCTTGTTCCAAAACAGTGTTCCCTACTTGACATAAACATACATAACTAACCTTGGATTTCACTAAAATGTTTCCAAAGGGACTGTCTTACATTGTTTAACTTTTATTGCCCAAGAAACAGCGCTCTACCAAACCAGCACACACACACATACTTTAACATAAGCTTGGAAGGAGCAAGATACATAAAGATTTATAACCTTGGACTTAACTGATAACTTTGTTCTGCTTTGTGATTAAGCTGTTTAGTTTGATGGACAAATCACAAGATGGCAAGATAACGTTTATTGAGCTGGACAGTTTACCTGCAGAGGTAAGTCTTTCCCTGTTTAGACATGACTCAGTATTCCCCAAAAGTTGTTAAACATCTACATAAATAATAAACAGTGGCTTTATATTTCAAAATCATCCTACCTGATCGTCACTTTTCCCAGTTTGTTCAAATTTTGATTCAGTTCTACCTCCGGGGGAGGGGTGGGGCGGGGACTTCCCATAGAAATAGTACGGTGGCGCTCGTCCAAAATTTTGAAAAAAACCCCTAAGAGGTACCAAGATCCTGTTTTGTGGGCGTGGCTTGAATTTTTATTCATCCCTAAGAGGTACCAATTCTAAAACAGCACCTTATCTCCTGTCATATTTTTTTCGGCTCAATACCCGAAAAGGTACCTGAAAAGCTCCCGATGTGAAACTTTTGAGGCTAAACACCCTAAGAGGTACCAAAATTACTGTTTCAACCCCTAAAAGGTACTATGAGCACCCCTGTAGTCCCCTCCACGGGGTTCTAACCATGCCTGTGAACTCAATGCTAGTACCCAGCTCGACCTGGGATACTTGCCATAAGAGACGGTCAGGGTTGGGTGCGGAGGTCTCAGGTATGAGTTATCAGTGATTTCTCAGCTATCAAATACAATTTCAACCCGTTTCCCTGCTGTTAGTAAATTTTGATGATGTCAGATATTAGCTGTGGTCTAAAAATGGCATTTCTTCAACTGACAGTTAAAATTTGACCAGTTCTCAGCTACTGGCTAAGCCCCATTGAGATCTCATTAGCATGCCAGCCTGTAGATAAAGCCGCCATCAGGAGCCGTCAACAGCGTTCAAAGGCGGCTGTATTTCACAAAGTTTTTTTAAGAAGGAATCCACCAGAAGTTCAAGTAACGATTGGAAAAAACTTGGCGGCTTTGAATTTTGTACCAAGAGTATTTACATTTAAAAAAAAATCATTTCTAACAGCACCAAATGTCGAAAACAAATTTTGAATTTCATATGAAACACATGAAAATACTGGTGAAGTGAAACTGATTATGAAATTTTACCTGTGTTTGCACAATTTCTCTGAACTTTGAAATTTGTTTTCTCGAGTTCCCATGGGAAGTTGTTTTCCGTGTTATTTAATTCAACTACTTTTATAGTCAGCTTTAAGAAAATGAAAAAAGGACAGTCAAATATCTAAAATTATTCTGGTACCAGGTTTTTTCCACTAAAAACTGAAATTGCTTGATTTCGTCTGAAAGTCTTCTCTTGTGATGTTCTCTGTTGTTTCTGTGTAGGATTGGGAGAAGATCCGTGTGCTAGTGACTGATTTGACTGAACTAGTAATGGCGCAAAACGACCAGGCAATAGAACAAGAGGCTCATTTCACAGAAGCGGAACATTGGCAGGAAAATGAATCACAGATACATACGGAACTTTGAGAAGAACTAGAGAACAAGTTGTATGTCTAGCGACATTTNAAATTGCTTGATTTCGTCTGAAAGTCTTCTCTTGTGATGTTCTCTGTTGTTTCTGTGTAGGATTGGGAGAAGATCCGTGTGCTAGTGACTGATTTGACTGAACTAGTAATGGCGCAAAACCACCAGGCAATAGAACAAGAGGCTCATTTTACAGAAGCGGAACATTGGCAGGAAAATGAACCACAGATACATACGGAACTTTGAGAAGAACTAGAGAACAAGTTGTATGTCTAGCGACATTTAAGCTCTTGATTAACTTAGGTAAATGTAACAGCAGATTTTTAAGCCATAGCGTCGCTCAAGTTCTTATCCTTGTAACGTAGCTATAGTAGTTAGAACTGCGTTATTGCGGCCACTAAGTGTAGCTGTTGTTCTAAAGAAAAGTAGTGAACATTCTGTCCTGCAACCGAGCTAATGGACCTTGATGATTCTAACAAGTTGGTTTGAAGGGTTCGGTTTAGATTTGTTGCCGAAAAGCGCCGTGGTGCTTTGTGAAGAGCCGGACATAGCTAATTTCGTAATCTTTCCTTTGACTCAAGTTTGAATTTATAATTCTAAGTTTTATAATTTATGTTTTTGTCTTACCTCTGCACTCAGTAAAGTACCAGGCAAGTTTGAGTTGAGCATTTCCAGAGCTCTGTTTACTGGGAAATGACAAACCACAAGATGATGTGAAATAGTTTTAAGTTTACGACGTATAGTTCAATTTGTTATGGATAAACCCTTGTACTCTTTCTGAACAGGACTTTCTGACAACCCTTCACGGATCGAGATTATTTAATGCTTCTTTTTATAAGTTTTAATAAAGAACGTGTTATTTATTGTGTTTCAAATCTTTTGTAGTCTTGTTACCTCAGTCAGGAAAGAAATTGCTTATACTGAAGAAAAAAGAGAAGCTGACATACCGTAAACTGCCGCTTATAAGCCCTCCCGAGCCTGCTTTTTGTACGATCACGTCATATTTTATTGATCGTATTTAGAAAATGCTGTGACTTTTCACTGATATTGAATAAGGAAAAAGGGCCGACACGTTTTTTCGGCACTTAAGGTCCAGAAACTAAGGAACAAATTACATTAACGAAAAACAAAATTTGCTTTTACTAAAAGCCTAAGTTTTCGAAAGGTGATTTGGACGCTCGCATGTAGAAGTAAAAAACTCGACAAGTAATTTTATTTCAAAGTTATTGGTATACTTTGATAGCGAGCTTCATAAGCTTCAGTTTGTTATAGGATTTTGGGTATCTACAGTTTCAACTGTACACGCTAGGCATTTTTCTGATATTGGTTCTTATAAACCAGTATCAGAAAAACGCGTAGCACGTTCGGTTGAAACTTTAAAATATCGAATAAAGGTGAAATCGAACTGCAGAATAGCAAAGCTAAATTTTGACCCTGACAACCCCCCATAAAACTTTTGCATGTAAAATTAACATTCAGCTTGTTGGAATAAAAAACTGTGTTTTGGCATTGTCCGACATTTATAGTAAAATTTCAGAGTATCCCAAAGCAAATTAGCCAGTTTCTGTCCGCAATAACCCCAGCCAGGGCTTGGACCTAGACCATTCGATCTGGAATCCAGCAGGCGTACTATGAGGCCACCACGCCTTCTGCAGAAGCAACACACTGTATATGAATTTCTTACATCAAACTCTTTATTTGCCTGTTTACACACTGTGTTTTTCTGCCATTTGATCTTAGACTCTTCATACCCATAGTGTTCACCCTTTAGTTTTCACCAGTCTTGCTGTGGCGCGAACTGGCCGGGAAACACCTTTATTACACCTGTGCCTAACTCAGGTGCCTTCTCCGCCCAGAAGAAGGCTTTCAAGCCAAAAATCCCTTCCTCTGTAATCTTCTTCACGAGGCTTGCATAGCCTGGTGTTTCTTCCCGAATAAAAACATGCACAGATTTGTCAACATTGTAAACCATTAAGTCTTTTGGGGCATCAGGATCTGCAGTAGTAACAGGCCTTTGTACTTTTACAACAAATGACTTGTTAGCTGGGACACTGGACTGAGAGGCAACACACTCCTCTGTCTTTCCACCACTCATAGACAGAGTCGGTCGGTCAGCTTTGAGCACATTACTAACAGTTGTCATGTAGGGATATCGGCTGGGATGAGCCAACACACCCTCTTCACATCTCTGCTTATGCCCTCCTTTCTTCCAGTGTTCTTTCTGACATTCCTTGCCACAGTACAAAGTGACACGACACCTGCCGCAGCGCTTCATCTTCTCAACGACTTTTCCTAATGTATTAAAAATAAGTGAACTTTTACATTCTACATCAATTTCTTATCATAAAGTTCCACAAGTGACCACATTTCTTACATCTGGATTAAGCTGACTACGTTTTGCCCTCCATCCCTCTTCCAAAGGAAGGCACCATGCATAATTAACATCAGAACTGAATAATCAAAATATGGTCCTTAACAACTGTTGTTACCCAATTTTATTAGAGCCTTACAGTCTGAACTTCTCCCCATTTGGGATAAGCTCGTACATTGCAGGATTACCCCGGGCAGCATTAAATTTGCCAGTACCCATTTGAGAGAGAGGCACTTGTGAGAGTTAAGTGTCTTGCCCAAGAAGGCCAGGGCTTAAACCTGAGGCACTCAATCTGGAGTACGGTGTGCTAACCACTGGACCTCTACACCCAAGGAGTGGGAGCTTCATAAAAAAAATACAGTAATCAGAACATGACATACCACAGTTAGCACAGCTTGCTGCTCTCTTAGCAGCAGAAGAATCAGCATCTCTGTTTGCCTTGTGCAGCAATAACCTTATCTCGGGTGAAGTCCTCGCCTGATCAAATGGTGTTTTTCCTTCATTGCATGTAGCTTGAGGATCAGCACCATGTTTTAAGAGAAGTTTAACAACATCTGTAGCACCTGAAGCAATAATTGAACAAAGTGAGTGTTGCATAGCATGTTTTTCAAGTACACCATGTGTGACGTAGGATAGTGCTAGTATACACTTCACGTAGAGAAACCCAATGCAAAGGGTCATATCCGAAGATTTCCCAGGATGACAAAGATTTCTAAAGGCATTTTGAGCATTTCCAGGTAGCAATCCAAGGATGTGTTTTGTCAAACATAGCATTGCTGCCAGAGTTGTCCTTTGAAAATAGGATTGAGAATTGGAAGAAGCGTACTATCATTTGTGTGGACATTTCTCTTCTTCCATCAGTCCAACTTGAAACATTTTTTGGAACTGTTTATTGTAGGATAAGGCTCTAATACATGTAGCTCAAAATGTTCACCTCGGTGTGAGAGTTTGGTCTATGGAGGTGACAAGCCATGACATGGAAGTTTTTGACCCACACACGAACTCATGCCCAAGGCATGAAAATTAATTAGCAGATACACTGATCATCCACTTTTAAATAATGATTTATTGACTCAGGGAATATTATTTTAGCACAAATTGTCAATTTCAGGTCTTATAGATTGCTTTTTTGTAGATGGGAACAATGCTGATGAAAGAACAGTTGTCAAATCCAGTGCCAGTGGTTAAAAAGCACTTAATGACTGACCCCAAAAGGAACAGTGAGTTTTGTTCCCCTAGACCCTCAATGTTCCCCTTTTCCCATGGGGCCAGTCATTAAGTGTTTTGTTATACTTCCTAACTCAAAAATATAAAAAACTGCACAAAAATTATTTGCATGACACCGGCTGGCACACAAACTTGCTGCAATTTCAAGGTGAACTGCCTGATTACGTGCAAGTCGAAATTTCAAGTTGTTGTTTCCCCAGGGAGTTAGTGAGTTTTGTTTGCCCTAGGGAGTTAGTGAGTTTTACCCATGACATGTGACACATTCTCCTCCAATCAGAAAACAAATTAGGAGGTATAAAGAAATTCCTTGTCGATTAATTTCCAAGTGTAAACAAACCTTTGCCCGTTTTAAGTGAAGAAATTTTTGAAAGAAAATTTGTCCTTTTGTTACGGTTTTGCCGTTGTCAAGCAACACAGAGTTTCGAAAAATTGAACAAATTAGGTGGTAATTCTCTATTACACCAGCAGCTAGACTTCACTTACCAACAAAGGCCGCGCAATGCAAACAGGTCATTCCAGCATACGTTCTAGAAACAAAGGAAGCTTTGCACTCTTCGATAAGATACTTGGCAATTTCTACATTTGCTGCCCTGCCACAAGCATAGAACAGCGGAGTGAATCCGAGAGCGTCTTTAACCTCCAAAGAAGTTCCATACTTGACCAGTAGTTTTACCATTCCCAGTTTCTTCTGCGTGACTGCATAGTGCAACGCGGTGAAGCCTAGCTTGTCTTGTTCGTTAATGTTGAGTTTTCCTAACGCATTTCTCATAAACATGTATGTTGCCACAATGCCTCTGCCTTCGTCGTCATCATCACTTTCAGTGATCATAATGGCTAGTTCCGTTACTGGCTCAGCCCGATATGCAGCCAGTCTGTCACTATCAATGCCTTCCTCTTCTAGGTTGTCTGGGTCGGCCATCTTGGAAGAAGTGCCGGTTACTCGAGGTTTACTCTTCTGAATAAATAAACGGAAATAGCTATTGCTGATAGATGCAAAGTGGCGAGATAGTTCTTGAGTTCGCAATTTTTAATAGTCCCTACTAAAAATCGCCGAGGATTGTTTTCTTGAAGCGTATAAGTCCTACGAAGCCTAAGAGTTCCTCATAGTTTAAGCCTTTGTACCAGGCCTCTTCTTTTTTTTTATTTCTCCCCAGTGGTAGGGGAAGGGTAGGGTTGGATAACAAACTCAAGACGTTCCATGACGCATGGAGAAATCATTGATTGATAATTCGTTTTATTTGCTTATATTAATAGCAATAAAAAGCACATATGAAAACATCAGTGAAATATAGATGGTAGAAAACCAACTTGAAAGAAGGTAGAGATGCCCTCCGTACCCCTGCAGTTCCACAGATGTACTAGTTACCAGTCTTCCACCCACAGGAAAGATTGCTCAGGTAGTTTTTACTCTTCAGGTATTTCAAGACGATATTGGTCATTTTTTTCCAGAAACAGTCTAGAACAAAGGTTTAGAATAGTCACAAAACAGTGTTCTCTACATGAAAGCCCCAATATAAGCACAATGATTCAAAGTGTTTTCTCTAAGATCATTCTGTTGTGGCCCGGTTACAGTTATGCGGAGTTATGTACATTAGCGTGACCCGGCGATCGTCTTGAGATCACGTGTGAGGATTGCAACGCCAATCAAAATTCGCCTTGTACTCCCTTGTACTATGTTTGAAAGCCAGTGAGAAAACAAAAAGAGTCGAAATCGCGAAATCTCTATTATGCATGGGATTCTCGGTTCGACGTGGCCAAAGATGACTCTGGCGTCTTATCTAAAGATCAAAGAAGAAACTCTGTTAGTCTATTGTTTATACTTTGTGGGATTTTTGGTAAGGTCTCTGTCCGGTTTCGATTGTGAATTCACCAATGTTTCTATTACATGTAATAGCAAATTTATTTATGGTTTTAATTTTGTAAACAGGATTTGTTTGCCGTAAGCTGCTTCTTACCTTTGTTAACTCACAGAGCAAGAGAATTAGGGGCTTCACCATCACTTGTTGGGGTTATAGGTACGTATGGAGTGTTGTAAAGAAGTACTAAGTCTTGTCTACAATGGTTACGTACATGAGCGTTAGTGTACACAACAACAAGCTTCAAGGTTATGTAAGCTTATTAAGCTTCCACCTATTACCTGTTATTTAGGGTATTGGAAAACAATTGGCAACTTCTTTTGTCGTTTCAAAATCGTCACAGAAAGTTTGTTGTCATTGGTTTTATTTACATTTTGCTAAACCCCGAGCTATTTAGCTCATGGTGCGGTTTGACTCAAAATTGTGAAACCGGCTTTTTAAAATTTCTTATTCTTGTCTCATAGTCATAAGCTTATCATCAAATCTGGAAAAGAAACCTCAAACTGGTTTATAAATTTTCAACCCAAAAAGAGGCGTAGAGTTCCAGATTTCGGATATTCAAATTATGTTAGTTTGTGCAATGACAAACTTATCCATTAAGGTCAAATTAACCCAGGATAAATAGGGTAAATTGCTCGCGCATAGGTTTAGAGACTTTCACTGCCAGGAAATATAAACAAAAACCTCACTGAAAAGTCTTAAAATTAAAACTGAATTTGATACAATGTTATATAGCAATACAGTAACTGTTGTGCTTTGAACAACTGGTACCCTGATTGTCAATCAAAATTAAAATCAGAACAAGGATAGCTTCATTGCCGTAGATGTTAACAGTGCTATCTACTGCATATATAACTACCCTGCAATCAAGCATTTTTTGCCTGTAGTAGGAAAAAAAATGTCTTTTCACAGGTTACTGGATAGCTACTCAGCATGAATTAATTTCAGGTCAAGTTTTTTGAAGGGTAGTCATACTATGCAATGGTTAAATTGTTATCCAGTCTTGGTGAAAAAAGCTATGGAGTGGATAGCAAGAGACCATTTCTGAGTTGCCTTTTGCCTCTGTATCAAAATGAGTCTTTGAGAAAAACCATTCATATGGAAATGTGTTCTGACGGCAGGTTCATTTTCGTGCAAATCAAACTCTTTTTCATATGAAAGGTTTGCAGGAAGACTCGTTTTGAAACACTGAGACACAAGGTAACTTGGAAATGGCCAATTTGACCAGTGGATAAATCTCAATCTTTTATCCGGAGTCTCCCCTCCAGTTTATCAGCAGTCAGAAAGCAAACAGCCCTGGACAGTTCTGATTGTAAGTCTGGAAATATGGAACTTCCAGTTGAATTGCACATGCATATTGGCCAAACACACATATTTGTTTTTCTCTGTGTTTTATATCTGTTCAATTTTATTGTTTCTACAGTAAAGAATGAAAACTTGAGCTATGAACTGGAGCCTAAATGTATTTTTTTATATAGTTTTTCCTCCATCAGTTTAAAAGAACTCTCAAAATAGGACGAAATCCAGATGGGCAAATTCCTGGTCAGGCCCGGGAGGGGACTTCCTTATAAAAAGGATCAGTGTGCTTGTCATACATGTTAGGGGTTGGAAAAGTGGTTTTGGTACCACTTTGAGTGTGCAGCCTCAAAAGGTCCACAGCAGGAGATTTCACAGTACCCTTTAGGGTATTGAGCAGAAAAAAAAATATTACAGGAGATATTTGGCAATGAACTTTACGAGTAGAAGGTATTCCAAGCAATCATCTTATCGCTAATGAAATTTCTAACCCTCACCCTAAGGGTTAAAACAATTTCAAGCCACGCCCGCAAAACAGGATCTTGGTACCTCTATAGGGGTTCCTTCCAACAAGCACCCCCATCCTTTTCATATGGGAGTCCACCCATGGAATCAGGTTTCAAGATACTTTTCAGACTATTACCCTGCAGGGAGACCTTGAAGTCTGAAATTGAGTGGTGCTTGTTAATCTTGGCAGGTTCTATATACGGAGGTCTTCAGTTCTTTTCCAGCCCTGTCATAGTAAGTGACTGTATCTTACATTACATAACTTAATGTTTACTTCAATCACTAGAGGGTGTTAAATTCTCCACACAGCAAGTTAACAACAGCAAAACCTATTGTACTGACATCAATTTCAACAGTGCCCATGAACACCAGTACTTGTAAAATGTTATTTTGGGGATATCACCTAGCAAAAAGGAATTAGATTAGTAGTATTAGAGTACTAATCCCTTTTTGGGATAATTGATTTGCTCAAAAAATACATGCCCTCTAGTACAAACTTGGTAACAGGTTACTTCACAAAATTACATTTTTCTCTATGTACTTCAGCAGGACTGATCCCTTCTATATGCCTCCTTGAGTGCAAAATTCAAGGGAACTGCCTCTGTATCCTGTTCCCTGGCTTATGGCATTGTCATTATCACAAATACTTTCTGCCCCCATATGGGAGCACAGAGCATTAATTTCTTATCTTCTTAATCCTGTAGTCCTTACTAACTTTAACATTTTTATGTGTGTTTAGGGCAGACTCAGTGATATTTATGGCAGAAAGCAGCTTCTTTTAGTGAGCCTGCTGGGAGCAGCTGTGAGTTATTTCCTGATGGCATTTCCAACAACATTACTTTTCCTGGCATTAAGTAGGATTCCTATAGGTGAGTTATACATATATGGTGACTTTGATAGATGATGCTTTGTAATCAGAGAGGTTGAGGTGAGAACCAAGGATAAAGAGAGGTATTTGTTGTGTGATTCCAGTAAAAAAAACATGATTTGTTGTTACTATTTTCCCAGGGATTTTCAAGCACAGTCAAAGTATTGCAAAGACATATCTTTCTGATGTTTCACCGTCTGTTGATCAACCCAAGGTGTTGGGCAATTTCAATGCTTTCTCCAGTCTTGGCTTTGTGATTGGTCCATTGATTGGCGGCCACTTGGCCATGGAGTCAAATGGGTTCTCCAAGGTGACTGTCTTAACTGGATGTATTTTTGTGATCAATTTTTTCTTCGTGTGGTTCTTTATGGCATCTGTGGAACAAGTCAAAGGACACTCTTCCATGCGACAAGAACAAGTACTAATTGATGATGAGAGTGAAAAGAGCACTAACAGAAAAATTACTGAACATGAGAATGGAGGACTGGAACATGACAAACTGCATGTTAGGCACCACATGCCAAGTAAAGTGGGCAACAGTACATCATCAAATTTTACCAGTGTATATAAAATTTCTTCAATGAGCTCCACTCTGGACTTGTTGGTCATTCGATTTGTCATGGGATTTTCAATGTTAGTTTTCCGAAGCAACCTTAATTCCATGCTAGAATTTCACTTTAATACCAGTCCGAAAACCAATGGCTACCTTATGTCATATAATGGGTTAGTTGGCGGGTTTTCTGGAATTCTTGTAGGCCAAGTATCAAAATTCTACAATCACAATGATGCAAAAATGCTGTTGCATTTCTCACTTATTCTTACAGCATCAATCCTAGGGATAACATTTTCACCCAGTATCTTCTTTGTTGCTGTCTTTATCGCGCCACTTGCCGTATCAAGTGCTGTGTCACGGGTGTGCGTGACCAACCTCACATTCCGAAGAAGTCGTGGGGATGAGAAAGGGATGATCTTTGGGGTAGGGAATTCCTTGCTGTCATTTGCACGTATGATCTCCCCTGCACTGGGTGGTGTCACTCAGGAAGCAAGTGTGTATGCACCAGGTAGTATTGGGGCACTGATCGCTGGGACTGGTGTGCTTGTCATGGTACTCTTTCCACCAGATAGACTCATAGTGAGTACAGACAAGAAAAAAGACAAGTGATCATTTTGCGGGGGTAATGTTAAGTATTGGAGAATTTCAAATGAACCCATTGTAAAGGAAGAGTTTCGTGGTTCGGTGCAAGACCAAGTTTTCTTGTGAGAATAAAATGGCTTTTTCCCTTTCTTACTAACCACATGTTCTGCCGTTATCTAATTTGGGTAAGCAGAATATCTGATGTCCAAATTTTGTGGAAGATATCAACGGATTTACATAGAAAGTGCCAAATTAATGAACATAGAATTTGTTTTACAGGCCAAAGAATTTAGTCTGGACACATGCCTAAGTTGTCTACTCATGTCCAACTGGTTCATAAACAATGGAATTGAGTGGTGCTTGGGATTCAGTACATATACAAATAACTCTAATGAAAAAGATTCACCTCTATTGTTTTTGCGATTGAACGTAAAACTTTCAAAGAAAAATATCTTTCGAAAGTCATCCGCCTGCTTTTGATCATTTCATAAACAATGAAATTAAATGGGTTAATGTTACAGCTTGCACAGTGCCGAGCCATGAAACTATCCCTTCAACAGCCACCTCTCTGCAACAACTCCCATCCTCTGTACGGGCTAACCCAAAAATGTAAATTATATCACAATCTCTTGATAACAGGCTGTTCTATACAGTGGTCTCTTAATTCTGAATAAAAAGAACTGTTAGTTACCTTCATAAGGTTTATCAAAAAGACATACATGTATTTCATAACAGATTTTATCTTATTGGTGTAATAGCTAATTTTACAGTCTAAATGTACTTGAAAGAAATCTTGTTTTAGATGTTATTCATATTGATTTCATCAATTACTGATGCTTCACAGGAGAAATTTGTTGTTCCAGAAAATCTCCATTCCCCTCCCACAGAGAAAATGTTTTGTCTGACCCCCACCCCTCCCCACTACACTGAGATTCCAATAAACCTTCCTCCTTCATTTCTGACAATGACTTTCTCTTGCGATGGATGTGAGTATTTCCTAGAACTGCAAAAACTAATAAAAACTAAATTTTCCACTTGAAGTCATTACAGGCTGGCTGTAACAAGCCTTTTGAGAAAGAATTTTACTTTGAAAATTGTTTTCGATATAACTTTTTTTATTTGACTATAGTTTTGTAAATTATACCCATGTGCATGTACTATTGGATCAAGGGTCAACGTACAGCAAAGAATAAAATTCTTGCAGATAAGCTGCATGCTACCAGTAAAAAGTAAACTTGAAAGTGTCTCGAGACTTGATGTAATACTTTTGTGTACTTAGAATTGATTCAAAATGTGCAAGATTTGTCACTAGGTTAACTGGTCAAAGATGTTATTTACTAGAAGTTAAATTTTTATTCAAAAAATGTGTCATTCAATAATTAGGAATAAACAATATTATTATTATTCAGTAAACTGATATTTAAATTATATGCTGAATTTGATGTCCAAGGTTTGTCCAGACAATGTGCTTGTTCATCACTGAAAACCTACACGTACATGTACATTTGTATAGATTAATTTGTAAATAGCACAGACTGTTCTAAAGAAACAGTAAAATAAAGAATATTTAGTTGTCTTGTCAACTTCTTTGTATGTACATCTCACCATCGTGGTCACCTTTGGATTAATGAGGCAGGGCTGTAGATTTTTACATGTCCATCCCAAGAGCAGTCAGCAAGCTAAGTAAAACAAATACAGTCAATTCTGGTTAAGCTTTCTACTCATTTCCACCCAATAAAGAAACTCTTTGTACACAAAGCCATGATCAATCAAGTAACTATTGATTGATTGATTGATTGCTACCGAGTAGCATAGGTCTGTGGAGCATGCGTAGAACTTCAGGCATATAAACCTCTGTCTGTATAATGTTCATTAATCAGACCTTGACTTGACACATAAAGGAATTAGTACAACAGATATATTGGTGACACTGCAGGCTATCAATAATTGGTCTGCCATGAGATTATAATTATGTGAACATTACCAATGTCTCATCAATGACTAATTTATGACTGAAAATCTGAAAGTTTTGTCTTATTCACTGATTACTAATTGATCCTAAAGGCAATAATCAATGATCAATCAACTGATTATCCATTGATTACCAATTTATTACTCCCTGATTTCACTGACGTCATCGATTAGTTATCTCCAGTAGCTTAGATAATGCAAAAGTAATATAACGATTACATTTTATGTTTCCGGTGTCGGAAACATGCCTGACCTGTCCAGGCAGGTGAAGATTAAAATCCAGACCAACCACAAATTCTGTGTGATGCTCTATTCTTTCTAAAGATTGTGGTCCATTGTTAATGTTCCAAGTTCGCATGGTGAAGTCATATGAACAAGATGCCAATAAAGAGCCGTTATGGGGAGAGCACTAATAAGAAAAAAAATACTATTTTATCACTTTGCAAAATCACTTGACTCAAGTTGACCTAAAAAATAGTCTTTTAACAGTTTCCTTTATTTTCACTCTCTCATGGAACAGTTACCATAAAAATCTGCATACAAGCCAAGTGGCCCATAAGGCCAGAGTATTTAATCCTGGTTTCTGTACCATGAAGTGACTAGGATTATTTCTACTCCCCCCTGGATGGGATGCGAGTCCACTGCAGGGTCAACCCCAGCATTTAAATTTGCCGGTACCCATTTATACACCTGGGTGGAGAGAGGCACTGTGAGAGTAAAGTGTCCCCAGCCAGGGATTGAACTCAGACCGCTCAATCCGGAGACCAGCGCACTAACCATGAGGTCACTGCACCTCCCACGTCTTTCGACCGTGAAAAGGTTTAGAACTTTGCACATAGAAAACTTGCTAATTCAGACATGCCATGTGAAGAAATCATTTGAAACATTTTCTTGATTAAACCAATTCTGTTCTAAAATCCAGTTTCATCAACTTTGCAACATTTAGCATTTCATCCCATGTCTATTATTTGATTGAGTACAAGGATTAAACAGAACAAAGCACCTCACCTTGACTCGTCTAACAGCATACTGGTGACCTTCAAGACNAACGATTACATTTTATGTTTCCGGTGTCGGAAACATGCCTGACCTGTCCAGGCAGGTGAAGATTAAAATCCAGACCAACCACAAATTCTGTGTGATGCTCTATTCTTTCTAAAGATTGTGGTCCATTGTTAATGTTCCAAGTTCGCATGGTGAAGTCATATGAACAAGATGCCAATAAAGAGCCGTTATGGGGAGAGCACTAATAAGAAAAAAAATACTATTTTATCACTTTGCAAAATCACTTGACTCAAGTTGACCTAAAAAATAGTCTTTTAACAGTTACCTTTATTTTCACTCTCTCATGGAACAGTTACCATAAAAGTCTGCATACGAGCTAAGTGGCCCATAAGGCCAGAGTATTTAATCGTGGTTTCTGTAGCATGAAGTGACTAGGATTACTTCTACTCCCCCCTGGATGGGATGTGAGTCCACTGCAGGGTCAACCCCAGCATTTAAATTTGCCAGTACCCATTTATACACCTGGGTGGAGAGAGGCACTGTGAGAGTAAAGTGTCCCCAGCCAGAGCTTGAACTCAGACTGCTCAATCCGGAGACCAGCGCACACTAACCATGGGGTCACTGCACCTCCCATGTCTTTTGACCGTGAAAAGGTTTAGAACTTTGCACATAGAAAACTTGCTAATTCAGACATTCCATGTGAAAAAATCATTTGAAACATTTTCTTGATTAAACTAATTCTGTTCTAAAACCCAGTTTCATCAACTTTGCAACATTTAGCATTTCATCACATGTCTATTATTTGATTGAGTACAAGGATTAAACAGAACAAAGCACCTCACCTTGACTCGTCTAACAGCATACTGGTGACCTTCAAGACTGAAAACTGGAGCTGTTGTGTTGCGCAGGTCCCAACCCCTTAATCACAACAAAGCAAAATGTGTATTAAATAGATGAAGTAACAACCAAGCTGTCATGCTACTCTTAACATTGTCTCCACACATAAATCCACAACTCAATAACTGTCTTAAGACCCAAACTTTTCCACAAAATCCCTCTCAATTAACATAGGCTGAACCCTTCCCAAACAATCCCAGGGTTAACAGAATTGATTATTATTTCAGTATTACTAATTTTATAAGTACCTGATCTTTGTGTCCACTGATCCACTGACTACTAGATTCTACACATCGAGGAAAATGTTTATTAGACAATGCTTTGTATGTTAAAAAGTTCTGATATTAAATGATTTAGTAGAATACCTTAGAATCTGTGCTAAATATAATTTTAACAATAAAGGTGTTCCCGGTCATCTGTGATATTGTCTTTAGTTAGTTTAATTAATACCCTGATACTCACCACATCATATTTGGCCCAATCGCAAGTGAGGACCTCTCCATCATGAGCCCTGATAGTCTGTTGGGCCCTTGGAGGGGCTGATACATCCCATACCCTGAGGGTGTTGTCACCTAGGAGTTCAGGAAAAATAAGAGTTGGTGTGCATTATGTATTTAGGATTTACATAGATACAACTTTGAAATTTTCTTAGTGTATGAAAATAACAGTGTTCTTACATGTATCTTGAGGTGATTCATTTAATCATGCTGTGTTCATCAGTATCTTATTGATCTGATGCTTATTAAGAATCTGATTCTTATCACACATATAGTCAGTGACCTCATTCACATTTTTTTAGACTGGACTTTCATTTCATGGGACTTCGATAACCATCTCTGGATCTTATTTTCTTCTTCAATGTTTATTGTTTGTAACATTACCACACTGACCTATCAGTGAATGAATTTTTATTTTTAATCATCTATTATATTTTAAATAAATTAATCCAGTTTCAATTTTTACTTTGATCTCATTTCTTATGCTTGTGATGATTTTATTTATTTTGATTTATCAAATGAATTCAGTTTCATTCTATTTTAATTACATTTCAACTTCATTTGTATCCTGCTTTTATCTGATTGGATCCTCCAAAATTTCCACACTGCCTCAGGAATTCTTCTCTCTATTAAAATTAACAACGGATGTATGTACCTTATGTAGCTTCATCATACCTGAGGCAGAGGCGAAGGTCCTTGCAACATGTGGAGACCACACAGCACTGTAGACAACATGTTGGTGATCAGTAAATGTCGCTAAGGATTGGGCCTGGTTTGGATCCCACTGTGAAAGAAAAACAGTCACTTTAATCTATGGATAACGTTCTGAAAAAAAAGGCTTTGGGACTCGCCTACTTAAAACTACTAGCAACCGATTAACTGTCCGTAATAATAAAATTAAAGCTTCCTCACCAATTTTATGGTGTGATCCCAGGAGGCACTCAAAATTTGATCAATTTGTCTATGACAACTCCAATCAACTCCATAAACCTGTGAAGTACATTGAAGAAGCTAGTTATTAATCACATACAGTGCCAAGACATACAAAAAGATAAGCAATTAACATACTCAAACTAATTCAGTCTACTTGTCATAAATAATTAATTGAAATTGACAAAGTTGATTTAGGCTGTGTAGCAAACATCCCCACATTTTACGCATGTGCATTGTGATGAGAGCCACATTATATCCTTACCCCATTGTGTAATGACTAACGGCTTTCGAGTGTCCAGTATAATAAAGAAAAATATTAAAAAATTAAAAGCTTGCTCCTTCAAAATCACAAAATTAAGTTGTAAGCTGAGGAAAATGTTGTGTTTTAAGGTGTACAAAACTGTTTTACAGTACTGATTCCTCAGTTTATGTACCATCCTTTACTCTTCAGCAACTTTATTTAAATATTAAACTTAAGAAAGAAGCACTACCATGCTGTACCTCTGCCCTGTGCTCTTTTAGAACCTTTATTGGACCCTGAAAAAAGAGATTCAAGATTGCTTTGAGACTGTATTTATTCAATTTTCACTTATCAGATCCTAAGATCACAGTCCTGAATGAATGTTTNCTGGAGTGAAGAGGTAGCAGCATACTGAAAATAAATAAAAATTACACGTAGGTTGTTCATTCTTGAGACCTGTCCCTGGAATTTCATGATTAAAAGGTACAAGGTTACATTTACTTAAAACTACTAGCAACTGATTAGCTGCCCATAATAATAAAATTAAAGCTTCCTCACCAATTTTATGGTGTGATCCCAGGACGCACTCAAAATTTGATCAATTTGTCTATGACAACTCCAATCAACTCCATAAACCTGTGAAGTACATTGAAGAAGCTAGTTATTAATCACATACAGTACCAAGACATACAAAAAGTTAAGCAATTAACATACTCAAACTAATTCAGTCTACTTGTCATAAATAATTAATTGAAATTGACAAAGTTACGCATGTGCATTGTGATGAGAACCACATTATATGCTTACCCCATTGTGTAATGACTAACAGCTTTCGAGTGTACAGTATAATAAAGAAAGATACTAACAAATTGAAAGCTTGCTCCTTCAAAATCACAAAATTAAGTTGTAAGCTGAGGAAAATGTTGTGTTTTAAGGTGCACAAAACTGTTTTACAGTACTGATTCCTCAGTTTATGTACCATCCTTTACTCTTCAGCAAATTTATTTAAATATCAAACTTAAGAAAGAAGCACTACCATGCTGTACCTCTGCCCTGTGCTCTTTTAGAACCTTTATTGGACCCTGAAAAAAGAGATTCAAGATTGCTTTGAGACTGTATTTATTCAATTTTCACTTATCAGATCCTAAGATCACAGTCCTGAATGAATGTTTGGTAATCATGAGTATCTAAATACAATAAACTCAAGTTACATGTAGAATTGCAAATTTTTTTAACACCATGAATTGCTACACATTCCCTCTCAGTCAAGTATGTCTAGTTAGTATAGCATATAAAACTGTGCAAAGTCTTACTGTTAGTAATCCCTGGAAAAAATTTTGTAGGACTTGATTACAGAGCTACTCTCTTTATTGTGAATTTCAGCCAACAAAATATTTTGATCATCAGGTTAACTTGTTACCTTAGGATTTTTAAGATCCCACATCTGAAGTGATCCATCCCCACTTGCGGTAACACTAAAATCTTGATTGTGTTCACTCCATGAGCAGTCAAACAGACCCTCACCCCACTCCCACCTATGACATGAGAGAGTTTGGAAAGAATTACTGATTGCTGTTGTCCTGGGGGGTAAGATGGGATCAGGGGGTACTCCCAGAAAAATTGGGTGGGGGTGTAAGACCCACTTCCCAATACCCTTAACCTATTTAAGATCAAAATCTGTGATTTTCCCTACTCTGTTTATGACCTGACTTATACACATTAGCTAAATATGGGAGTACCCCCCTGGGTGTGGGATGCACTGGCAAATTCCGGATGAGTCATTGCTCTACTGGTGTAGGAGGCAGGAATTACATGTAAGATGTCACTTAAAGTTCCTTAAAAATGGAACCAAGTGTCAAGAAGGACTTGTAAACTAGACTACAGGGTCTTCTCAACTATTCATATCTAAAAGTGTCTTGCCCAAGAACACAACGCAGTGCCCCTAGCCAGAGCTCGAACCTGGATCGCTCGATGTGGAGACAAGTGCACTAAAACCATGAGGCCACCGCACCTCCTATGTCAGTGCTGTTATAATACTGCAGTGCCAGAATTTTCATCATTAAAACAAAGAGTTTACCTGCCTACAACCTGAATTCCTGTGGGAAGGACATCTAGAATAAATAACGTCCCACTGCCTAGAACATAAAACAGACTTCGATAAGCTCAGTTTTAAGAGTTTTATTGTACCCCTTTACTCCAACAATTTAGGTTGATGTACCTTGGTTAGCGAATGTCTTGAGCCAGTTATGCACTCTATTTTATCAGAATGGGACTAATAGTGAACCTGCAAATAATTATGTGTAGTTAAAGAAAAGATCCATACCTCCTGCACAGAAGGGTTTTTTTTCTAAGATCCCCACACCCCTCTGGAAATTCCCATATTAAGCTTCATAAATTTCTTTTAAATTTTTTGGTCTTACAGAAACCCCTCCTCCTCCTCCCCCTCTTGGAAAATTAAATTTGTCCCTTCTGTTGGGGGAGTATGGATATTTTCTGGAACTGCACAATCTCCAGATTTCAAGTCCAGCCCTCTACCCGCTCTGGCATGTCCTTTACAGTTAGAGATGCTAGTTACCAGCTATCCCATAATGTTGTGAAGCTGCACAGAGAAGTCTTTGCCCAAAGTATGGAGAAAACTTGACTGCATATCCATGGCGTCCACGAGTGTGAAATGTAACAGCCATGACTGCAAAAAGTAACAAACTGACATAAAACATATACTCTCTATAAAGAAGGCCACATAAATTTAAATCTTTAGAGTCTTAATTAACCTGGAACTTTTAAGGACTCACATGTGTCCTCCAGTGTTTTATGAAAGGGACTTAATTTATATTTTATTTAAGCTTATATTATTTTTTCTAGTAAAACATACTGTAGTAAGAAATAAACCTACCGGTTCACTTTAAGTTGTTCCAGATCGGTTTAAAGCCAATTGACCCTTCTCTACAGGCTCACCTTTTAAATATTCATTCTTTATATCTATATGCCATAATTCGTCAGAGGATTGAGCTACACAGAGGGAAACGTATGTCAGAGCGTATCGTCCGCCATATTGTGGACTTTGGTACCGAGCCTTTGAGGACACTTCGATTTTCACGATATGAAGTAGCAACTGTTCTGGGATCCTGACGGAGTTGATGTAGAGATTTTTCCAAGTCAAGTCTACGTCGTTGAAAGGTTAATACCTTTTGCGCAAATTTACAAAGAGTGAAATATGAGTAGTTCAGATCCCAAAGATTTTCTTGAAGAGCTCAAAGAACAGGCGAAGAAGAGTGTTTCTGGAGGCGAGGAAGAACGTCAGACTTATGTTGATCCATCAGATGGAACAGTTTACGAATGGGACGCTGAGAAACGAGGATGGTTTCCAAAGGTAGTACTAGCGTGTTAAAGGTTACTGGTATTTTTCAGTAAAATGCCGTAAAGCTATACTTCTGTTGATGGTGGCAAACAATTTCTGAACACTTTATTAAGGATCATCTCAAGTGCTTCGCAGCTTCTTCAGTTGTATTAATTAAGCTTAGTCCAATAGTACATCAAATTACATGCATGCATAGTACTCTATCAAATGATATAATAGGTCAATGCACTATTAAAAGAGGATGTGTGAACTTAATTAACACTTGTACAGGTGGATGAGGACTTCCTTGCCGCATATCAAATGAACTATGGTTTTACGCCAGATGGTGAACAAGCTGATAACACAACCACTGACCTTCCGGTAACTGCTGCAGATGAAATACAAACCTCAAATAACCAGGTAGGTAAAGGTATGTGCCCTTGATGATTTTATGGAAAGTTGCACTAAATAAAATTTTAATAATAATAATAATAATAATAATAACAATAACAATAACAAAAGCAATAGCAATCGCAATTGCAATCGCAATCGCAATCGCAATCGCAATCGCAATCACAATCACAACAACAATAATAATAATAATCTTGATCAAAAGTGATTTCTTAAAACATAAGTAAGTGTAAAGTTGATAGCTGATGTTTCGGCGTCATCATGACACCATTCTCAAGGCAAAGTGAATAAATTAATGCAAAGGTTTGATTTCTATACTTTTCAGTCTCTACAAATTAGCATAATAACAAAGGATCACAAGTTCTTCAAGTGAATACCTTTGCGCGAATCGAGTCCATTTGCTTGTTTAGAGATGGTTTAAGTTTTCTTATAAAAAGTCTTCTTAATTAGGCAATCAAACTTGTTCGAGCATTTAGTATGGACACAAACAAAAATCGTCGTCAATTTGTAAATATTGCTTGAGCAAACATAACTCGAAAGCACCTACTTGTCTTTCAGTACAATTTCATGTGCTTACTAAATGCTTGAACAATAAAATTATTGCCCTTTAGTTTTCACGTGATTACATGTATTCTCGAAATCTAAACAACACATTTGTAGTTAAAAGACTTGCATATATATGGGAATATGAAAATATTAATAAATATAATAAAAAAATTAATCAACTGATGGAAGTTTTTAAATGAGCAAGACTCAATACATGTATAAAGTATTGCAGGTGGATTATTCAGATGGTCTTTTGTGGCAAAACTTGGTCCAATGAAACTTTGTTCAATTCCTTGTTATAGGTACCAAAAGAAGAAAAAGGAGAAGAACATGGTCCAGAGTTATTAAAGAAGAAGAAGAGGAAAGCAGATGAAGGTAACTACTGACTGATGAATAAAATAAAACAGAGTGGGACATTCACATACACTGTATTGAGTATCTGAATGATTCTTGCCGGATATAAATCTCCTTTCTTTTCTTCCAGGATGGTTTGAAGTTGAAGGCAACAAAAATCCAAATGTTTATGTTTCTGGTGAGTTGTGCTTACATGTATAATGCAAAAATAAATTTTATCCCATTTATTTCTTGTTTACAATTATATTGCTACTGTCTTGTGATTACTGTTTAGTATCATTCTGTAGGTCTGCAGAAAGTGCAGAAAGTTGTTTTAAAGACACACAGTCTAATATTTATTACATATGTTCACAATAAAACCAGAGCGAGAGTGCAGTGGAAATTTCCATACATATGCTGTATTTTTGTGCATGACCTGACCTCAAGTCGGTGCAATTGTTTGTTGGAATTATGTGGGAAAGGTCTATTATAGAATGATGTGAATATTGCTGCATAGTTGTTGCTGACCTCATGAGCTCTTCTTTCTTAGGACTGCCACTTGATACCAGTGAGGAGGAATTTATTGAGATGATGAGCAAATATGGCATTATAATGCAGGATCCTGACACAAGTAAGCAAAAAAAGTCTGTTGTAATATTATTATTGAAAGATTTAATACTCGCTATTTCGGAGTCATCATGATGCCATTATCAAGAGAAAATAAGTATAAGATTTAGCGAATGAGATGAAAATGCTTTTCATATGCAAGCTCAAACCAAACCTGAATGTGCAAACTGACTTAATTTGTGCTGAAGTGTTTGTTTAGCCATCTAATTAGTGTGTAATTTTCAGGTCTGGCCTATTTTTGCATGCCTTTACTTTTAATTGGCAAATCTCTTTTGATCCTATGTACTTTTTTATGCTCAGGTTTTGTTATTCACTCAGTTAGTAGTGATATTAGTGCTCTCTTTTCAGTTATTAATTTTACACACATGCATGTGTTGAATAAATGATATAACAGCCAACTGGTGACTAACAGCTCATTGTGTGTAAATGGTGTGTAAAGTAATGTAATAATATTAATTTTCTTTAGATAAGCCCAAAATAAAGCTTTACAGGGACCAAAACGGTCAACTGAAGGGTGATGGCAGATGTTGCTATCTGAAGGTATCTATTTATTTTAGTTTGCTATATCTTGTAACATCTGATGTACGTGATGTATTTTTGAGTGATTTCATGCTAGACAATCTGCAATCATATGGCTCTAACCAGCAATCAAACCTGGAGAGTACATTAACTGTGTCACTGCCATACCTCGCTGACTTGGGTACTTAAATGTAATTATGGATTTGATAATAAATGTAGATTCAAAAATATTTGTTTTGCTACAAACAGTCATTGTAACAATGGTATCTAATTTTATAGATTGAAGTAGACTTAGATATCTTTCTTTTTTCTTCCATGACAGCGTGAAAGTGTTGATCTTGCGATAAAACTTTTGGATGAGTCAGACTATAAAGGAAATACCATACATGTTGAACAGGTATGTCCAGATATGTTTTGTTCAAAAACAGTTTTACGTGTATGTCCTCATGGCATTAAATTCCTTGGATTGTCACTGCACCTTTTAGTAACTTGCCATCCCTGCGCATCTGATGGTTTTTTGTTTCACTGCCATCAATCCTGATCTAATTAGTGGACCTCGAAGGAAACAGAAGTTGACTTCAGCCAATTTAAAAGATGGGGGATATGTCTAAAGGACACAATACCTTAGAACAGCTCAGTCACAGCATTTTGAGTTGTTTTGGCCACGTACAAAATTATTTCTAACTTGAAGAAAACTGAAAAGAGTAGTTAACTAAAATAAAAACACAATTTAAGGGACAATATTAAACCATAAACGAACAGGGATGGTTAAGGATGGAGAAGATTAACATGGAAATTACAAATTGCAAACTTGAAAAATTTAGTCTAAATTTTTCAAGAAGTGCAAACTGTGATGTAGCTCCTAAATTAAATATATTTCTGGTAACCAATTGAATGATAAACTTCAAAATAGTGCAAATAATGATATTTGGTCTTTTTTAACTTCAGGCAGAGTTCCATCTGAAAGGAGAATACAATCCAGCTCTAAAGAAAAAGAAAAAGAACAAAAAGAAGAAAGCAGGAAAGGGACAGGAAAAGTAAGTGAGTTGTCAAACCTGGTTGCTAGACAACACAATCTCATGCTGTTGTGGGAGTAATCCCATGTATATTTTTATTTTTACATCTATAAAGACACTATAACAATAGTATGAATTACAAATTATTGCTTCAAGTCAACTTTTCTTTCAAATCAATGCATGCAAAGTTGAAATCTTACTTAGGAGGCTAGTTACAAGACCTAGAGACGACTAATCCAGTCTGACCTCTCTATGTATTAAGTGCACAAGGAAGGTGGAGGCCCCATGAGGGGGAGGGGAGGGTCTGAGTATCCCACATCCCTTTAATCTTTGGCCTAAATATCCTATATCCCGCTAATTCCAATTGCAAAAATAATTAACGATATTTCTACTCAATGCCCCATTTTATCTTTTCTAAATATCCCATATAAATAAAATAAAGGGTTATTTAAAAAAATATCCCACATCTCATTAATTTCTCCCCAAACAGGGCTAAAATAAACTTGAAGTCCAGCTTGCCCTTAGGACAAGTATCTCTCAAATATTGCTTGCCCTGGGCAAGTCTTAGTTTTCTCTTTTCATGATTTTGTTGGTAGTTGACTTGCCTGATCCCTTGCCCACCACACAAGTGAGAATGATATGGTCCTTGTCCAGAAGGAGAATCTGCCTGTCCCGGACGACCAGACGGCGCTTTTTTCAAGCCCTGCCAAATATCCTACATCCTGTTAAATTTTTTACGTAGATATCCCATCTCCCCAAAACCCCTCATAGGGCCTCAGTCTGATTCAGACAAGTATAACGATAAACATTTGAATTTTTTTCCAGATTATTAGACTGGGTGGAGAGAGACACAAGGAAAAAACATGAGAGGGTCATTGTCTTTAAAAACATGTTTGATATTGAAGACTTTGAGGTTTGTGTTTCCAGTTCCATTACATCAAATTTTAAAGGAGCTGCATCACGGAGGGTATCAGCCATTTTGAAAAATTGGTCGTTTTTTTTTCAAGTTGGTCATTTGTAATTTGTTGTGATCATCTCGGCTTCCTATTTCTTCTCTGATGGTTTTCTACCTTAAACAACCAGTATTTTACCCACAATTTGTAATGTACATAACGTGTGGGACAAAAGAAATAGATGAAATATGCGTCAGTAGTGGATCCAAACTTACACGCATGGTGACGGCCATAGGTAAATCAGCAGGGTTAGACTACGAGCCTGACTATGAGTAGTCCATTTTCGCTTATAGTCCGTCGAGTGTGACCGCGAGAAAAAAATGGCCTCGCGAAATCCCGGCAGTGTCTGATGTGTGAAGCGCGATTCTTGCCCTTAGGATATCGCGCGGCCATTTTTTCTCGCGGTTTTCTATCGCGTCACCCACGACAGGCTAAGCGAAAGAGGGACTACTCGTAGTCTACAGCAGGGTGGGCATTTCAAGAAAAAAAAAAAGAAAATTGAATTGAAAACGATTTTTGTCTCTTTGGACCTGACGGTTTCAGCGATATAGGCCTAGGCTCCCGGATCTTGCATTGCCGGCATACAAAATCAACGTCTGACTGGCTCACTATAGTTTGTTTTTCACAATCAGCTGTGTTGTTGCTTTGGCCTAAGTTTTATGCTCGCATTGTTTAATGAACCTCTCTTGTAGTTTAATAATGTCATAATACCAATTTTCTTTGCAGAAAAATCCTGTTTTGATCACACATTTGCGCAATGATATGAAAGCGGAATGTGAAAAGTTTGGTGAAGTGAGAAAAGTGATCGTGTTTGATGTGAGTATTGATAGTTTTTCTCGCACAGTTTTTTTTTTTTTTTACATTCAAAAGAGACTCTTCCAAATTGAGATCCCCAATTGGTATTGTAAAATGAAAGAAAAAGGAACGTTCACCGTAATTTATCATTTATCATCTAATATCTCCCCTCTCCCCTGTTTGCGGAACGTCAGTTGTTAAATTCTGAATTTCGTTACAGAAGTTTTCGTCTTCATGACTATTGAGCTTATTATCCTGATGGCTCCAAACAGTTCTTTACATTTTCCCCAGATGTTCTTTATTTCCACCATGTCACATAAAAAATATCTTAAGTTAAACTTTCCCGTCGGTCCCTTAAGAATTCTGCTTGTTATCGATTGGGGAAAGTTTTGTTTGAGGGCTTCCCAGGTGGGGGAAGGGGGTAGCATGTTCCCTTGATCCCTTGAAAATTTCACTTTTTCTCCCTTGTTGCCTATTTGTAATAAGTTTCATCGTTCCCTAAATTTTTCGTCCCTCGATAGTAGAGATATCCCTTGTTCCCTTGAAATAAATGTTCACTTGTTCCCCGAAACCCCTTGGATGCAATAACTAAAGTACAGTGACATTGACGTTTTAGCTTTTCTTGTGACTCCCAGAACAGCTGGAAGCGGTAAGAGTCGGTTGTATTCGCAAACCACCGAGTTTGAATGTGTTATAACTTGTAATTCTGTTGTTTCTTTCTTTGACAGCGTAACAAAGAGGGAATTTGTTCTGTGGCGTTTTCAGCATTCGAAGCAGCTGATGCCTGTTTACCGGTACGTATAGTCTCACACAATTAAATTTTAAGTAATATACCAAACAAGGTAGGCCTAACCGTAGAAATAAAGCTCCGTTCTCAAATTCCTCCGGCATAGTGTGGGCTCGTGAGGCCTCAGTTGCCTTAGTCTTTTTATTCAGGTAAACGTTTTGTTTGGTAGCTATTGAACTAAACAATCAAAGGTGAGTTCGTGAAACTAAATAACTCCCTTTACAAGATAGCTGACTTTACAAATATTTGTACTCAGTTGAGTAAAATTGAAACTGAACATGGAACGCAGAAGAAAGAATTTTCTCTCGAAAGGGAAAATTAAAAGAGCCGTCGCTGTTCACGTTCTCCAGACAACGCAGAATTTGGTCATTTTACGTTGTTGTTTTACAGAGGACGGCAAAGAAATGTACCAAGAATTATAACGCACGTGCACAGCCATTGTACGGCTCATTAAACATCTTTTTTTTAGTGACATTGTAGTATGCCCCGTGACGGGGCCACCGTCCACACTACTTCGGAGAAATCTGTAAAGGGCATTTTTTTTTCACTCTGAAAACTCACTATCAAGTGTTTTCCGTCCACACTACGCCGTAGGAATTTAAAAACACAACAATCACCGGTCATTTTGGATTCGTGTTTGAGGAAAGCTCGGTCAGGAAAATCACATGATTATCGTGACGTCATCGTTTTCGAAAAGCTCCGTTTTCAAAATGTTTTCCGTCCACACGAAAACGAAAAGCCGGCGTTTCCAGGTTCCTCCGGTGTGAAGAGCGTTTTCGAAAAGCTTCGTTTTCGTTACGGGTTAGTGTGAACGGTAGACCTCAACCGTAGAAAAAAAGCTGCGTTTTCAAGCTTCTCTGACGTAGTGTGGACGCTGCCCAAAACTCCTGCTGTCGCGCCTCGCACGCGGTCTTTCTCTCGTTTCTGTCTCTGTTATCTCTTTCTTCCGTCGTTATTATTAACTGAGTACATTTTGTGGCAGGTGATGAATGGTCGGTGGTTTGCAGGTCGCAGAATAACAGCTGAAAGATGGGACGGTGTAACAAGCTACAAAGTCGAAGAAACGGATCAACAACGGGAACAGCGGCTTGGTGAATGGGAGAGATATCTGTCGGGAGAACTGGACGAACCAACGGCGTCTAAAACCTAGCTACAATCCTGTTCCGCTGGTAAGATTAGTGAAATAATTTCGGGGGGTGGGGACTCCGATATAAAAAGGACGGGGGTGCTCGTCGTACCTGTCAGGGGTTAAAAAAGTGGTTTTGATATCTCTTAGGGTTTTCAGCCTCAAAAGGTCCACAGCGGGAACGTTCGCGGTACTTATTAGAATATTGAGCCAAAAAAAGGCAGTGTCATCTAATGTGTTGCTTTAGAATTCGCACCTCTTAGGGGCAAAAAAAATTTCAAGCCACGCCCACAAAACAGGATCTTGGTACCTCTTAGGGGTTGTTTCAAAATTTCCGACGAGCACCGGGGAAATAATTCTTAGAAGAGGAAGTAGTCATCTCAGCAAAATGACTGACCGAGCTTTAGTTCGAGCTAGAATAAAGTGGCCGTAATAACGAGGTGTAAGGCGGGGTTCCACAGACTGTAAAGGAATACAAAGTTGACTATGCCGACACAACGTCAGATTATCTGTCTTATCATGACTTTGGTGGCGTTGAAGTAATTTTGCAGGCAGATAACAGGCAATAAAACCTGATATGACACACATAACTTCTCGACTAGAACAAACGACTAGTGTTATGTTGTTGTTTCTCTACTAGTTTTACCGTTTGAGAAGGGAGAATTTTCCAAAAAATAGCGTTGCTTATGTTTGCTATTTAATTTTATTTCAACTATTTTGCCACTGTGGCCTTGCAATAAATATTCTACTGTTTTCAGGACAATTTGAATCAACTCGCCACATTTATAAATGTCAATAAATCATGCAAAAGGAAACAGTCAGCAATATCTATTGCAAGTTGGAAACTGCGGACAGTTGAAGAACAGCTCAAGTTAAGGCCATCTGTTCATCATCTGTGCACGTGCTGTACACGTGGACTGAGCGACCTGGCATGTGCACCGTCGTGTGTCAAGATATACTGGACGTCGAGATGGCTTGGAACCAAGTGAACACAAAAAGTTCGGTATTCTTATAAGAGGTTCAAACCAAGAGGACAGCCAGGACAGCCATTTGAAAATTTATTCAACCAAGGATATTCTATTTATTAATATGAAGTGAAGAAAAACGCTAGCAACGTCAAAGAAACTTGCTAGATGGCTCGCAGTCAAAAATTAATCAACAACGGATGTCGAAAATCTCGCCCTGTTTCGCGGAATACTTGACAGCTCCCAGCGTCTGTAAAATTCCTGAACCAACAATGGCTTTGTTCCGTGTTAGCTTCTCTTTTTTTAAAACCAATGTCTTGAATACAAAGATTGCGGTAAATTGTGGCTTTTTAAGAAACAGAGAACATTTCTTGTATAGTGAAACAGTTCTAGGAACACGAGTTAAAGTTTGTAGGAACGAGAAATGCTGTAGAAACACGAGCCGTAAACGAGTGTTTCCACAGCGTTTTCGGGTTGTCAAAAACTTTCACGAGTATTCTTTACTCTTTAGAAACTCGGAAAGAAATGTTTCGATTACTCTTAGAACTGAAAATAAAGGTCGTACTTTTTCGAGGCTATTTGGTTATTGTTCTTGTTAGTTCTTGTCAAATTTTCATACAGATTTCTTGTCTTGCTTGTTGCGGCACGAGTTGCAGAAGAAAGTGTATACCTTTGTTTTTACTACTTTGGCGGCTGGCTGTTACTACGATTACCAGTTGAGTAAGAGCCTGTTTACATGGAAGGAGGGTGCTCCGGCTAACCGGGCTACCCGGCTAACCGAGCTACCCTGGGAGGGCTAACTTCTCATACCTTTCTTCAGAAAACGCATTGAAAAGTTTACATGCTAGGCAGGGTAGCCCGCCTACCCGGGGCACCCTGTCTACTTGCGCGGGGCACCCGGCTAGGCGGGATAGCTTTTTACCATGTAAACGGTTCGTCCCGGGCTATCCCGGCTAGCCGAGGTGAGATAAACCACGAAAACATGGCGGCGCGAGGTGAATTTTTTCGTAGTTACCTTTAACAACAGTCCTATACACTGAAAAGAGGCCGCTAGCGGAATGAGCGATAAAAAAATTAAACTTGCTGCCAAAGAGTTTCTTTGGTCGGCCATTTTGTTTGTTGTGCTTAGCGGCCACTCAAAAGATAGCCCACGCAGCCCACTCGCTGTCCCGGTTAGGTGAGATGCATGTAACGGCGGGCTGTGTGTCAACCCTTCTAGCCGGGTAGCCCGGTTATGTAAACAGGCCCTAAGGCGCGACGGAGTTTTGGTGGCGAAGTTTTGGATTAAAAATTACGGTGTTACCACGGGCAACTATCGTTTCTAATGGCAACAATATCTTCACCTCCAATTTCGCGCGCTTTGCTGCAAATGACGTCAAAGGCCAACAAGTTGCCACTGGAAACGGAGCCAGTTGGCAGTGACAACAACACAAGTTGAACGTTAAAACCTGGTCACCAAACTTTCGTCGCGCCATACTCGACTGATAATAGTGGTACGATTTTCCTGAAGGAGAACTATAGTCCGGATAAACCGGTTTCTGCAAGCCTTCGACCGGCCATCTATTTCGTCTGTTCAAACTGAACCTGGTTCTTTGCACAACCTTCGTGGCGGTTTGTAACTACAGCAGCACTTGCCAGCAGCGGGTTAGAGTCCCTCATAGTTGATTACTCGCTAGCGGATTTGTAAAAGTTGGAAAAACGGTTTTGTATTCCAGCTTGGAGCCATAATTCCCATTAGAAAAAAGTGAAGATTGATCGAGCCGTTTTCCTGGGCCCCGTGTACACCAACCCGGAGGAATTTGAAAACGGAGGTTTCACTCTGAAAACGCATCAAATGTTTTCCGTCCACACTACACCAGGGGAATGTAAAACGCAGCAATCACTGGTCATTTTGGATTTGTGTTTGAGGAAAACTCAGCCAGGAAAATCACACTATCATCGTGATGCTGTCGTTTTTGAAAAGTTCCGTTTTCAAAATGTTTTCCGTCCGCACGAAAACGAAAATGCGGCATTTTCAAATTCCTCCGGTTTGAAGAGCGTTTTCGAAAAGCTACGTTTTCGTGACGGATTAGTGTGGACGGTAGGCCTAACCGCAGAAATAGAGCTGCGTTTTCAAATTTCTCCGGCGTAGCGTGGACGCTGCCCTACTGCCTCGTTTGTGTAGGTTTGTAGGTCCAAATCCACTGTCACCGAGAGGGACTCGTCGTCAGTCTACCTCGAAAATCTCGTGAACTAATAATCTGCATGAACAACAGGCTAACGCCAATGAGGGAAAAAAGGTTGGATGAAAACTAATATTCACACCGAGACTAAATGTTTCAAATATATGCCAGAAAATTGATGGTCTCATTTCCCTTTCTCCCACACAATGGGTCTACAAATGACCACTGACTGGAACCGCATTCAATATTGTCTCGCGCACTATTCCAGCATGTTAAGAAAAAAACCACCTGCGGGTTATGTTTACTGACCTGAGGGTGAAGTGGAGGAAATTATTTTTCTCAATATAATAAACTCGAGTAGGAGTTATTGTAACAGTGAAAAAGCATGTTGGAAAAACTTTCTCTTTTTGCAGCCGAAGCAATTGTTATGAAATTAAAATGTGCGCTTTTCTCACAATATGCAAGAACGTTGAATAAAACACAAGGGAAAATATAGATGATTCCCGATATGTCCGTCCTTTCTGTTTTGTCGAAAATGTCATACAATAGAATACTCAAACCAAAAGAAGTTTTCCTCCCCTTAGTCGAACACTGTTTTTTCACCCCAGATTTCTCGAACTATCCCATTTTTCAAACCTATTTTCGTTTCCCTTAGAGGTTCGGAAAATTCCACTTTTGCATGAAAATAGTCTGTTCTGGTGGTCGGATTGTTAGATCTTTCACTGTCAATGCTAATTTATTGTAAAATTTGGTACGATTATGCAGGGAAATAGTTCTCATTGACTAGAAACCCCAAGAAGTCTATTCCTCGCTTCACTCGTTTCATATTTTATCGACTCTTGTCAATTTAGTCAATTTAACCCGCTGGAAAAAAAAACAAAAAACAATCGCTCGCCAATTTTTGTGCGAATCGAAGGTCCAAAATCCACCATTTTTCGCAAGATACAAGGCCCGAGGTTTTTCTTCTTCAATAACAACGAAACTCGATTATAAATTGTTCGCTAATGGCACTTGTTTGGTCTTGTATAGCCGCTATTTTCATGGTGTCATTAGTAACGTCCGATCTATATTAAGTGTTTACCATCTACTTAACTGATCGACGAGGGAAATCTAGTACAATTTCAGTTTTAACAAGCCGACAGCTTTTTTGCAGGTGAAATTTCGGGTCGCAGGACTCGTATGTTGACTTTAACTTAATGAAAACGCCTGGATAAGGAGTATTTGAAAATTAGCACAGCTTTCACGTATCTGTCTCAAACAAAATTTAAAACATCGGGCAATTTCGGTTATCTACTCTTTTAAATGTTTCCGAAACACCAAAACTCACTCTATTTGTCTGCGAAAAGCTAAAAAGATATGTTTTAAAGTTCATTCAAACGGTTACATTTTCTTTCATCAATAAAATGAACGATCGATAGATAAATATTCTCATAGAAATTACTTTTCTCTTCTCCTTTGTTCAAACTATTTTAACGTTTTTGTCAAGTGAATGTATTTGAGTTTTCCACTTTCTAGCGCCGCAGGAAAACGTGAATAGTAAAATGGTCCCATTTATCTTCATCGCTTTTTGTGCTGTCCGTAATATTACCACTCTTTCCTCCACTGCTCGAAACGAGCTCGAAGTGGCAATCTTGCAGTCGCTGGAACGCTCTCTCGATATAATTATGCTTCAGATAAAATCTGTTTGTGTACCTGTTCCCCTCCGGGTTAGGATCCCTTGTCTCATTGAGGGTTTCTCCAAACACTTCACGGCACAGAGTTACTCTTCCGCAGACTACAATTCTTTGTAGCTTGCGAAAATTCACGTCTGCCTGACCGGAGCGACCAAACGTGTATGTACCGCGTATGTGTAGCGTGATGTAACCAAACCGATCGCTCACAATCGTGGCTGCTCTTTCCCGCGCTTTCCAGTACAGGTCAAGTTGCTGTTCTAGTGCTTTTATTCCAAAAAACTCCGCTTCTGTTTTGAGCCTTCCAATCTCGTGGAAATCGTCTGGGAGGTGCAATCTTTTTGTTCGGAGAAAGTCCAGAATGTAACGAAATAGAGAGCCATCGCGGTCTATGAAATATTTCCCGGATTGGTCCTTTTCCACATGCTGCTTCCCGCTGAAAATTCGCCCAAGAAGCGAATCGGGTTCCCTTGTTAACGTGAGCACTGATGTGGAGTAGAACTTTCCACCGACGTTCAATTCGATATTTTCTGGGAACAATCGATGATGTTGTGTGTAAATTGCAGCCGCCATGTTCACTACGATAGTTTTGCCACGAGCCCAGCTGTATGTCAGTCGCGAGTTTATTTGTTTTAACGGCAGCGAATAAGAGACAAGTAAGTCAAGGGTAGAATAGATTATCATCTGCGACGTGTTGTGTTTGATTTTATAGCTTTCCGCTAGAGGATAATTGACATCTCAATGGGCATAAAATTAAACAATATTAGCTGCGGATGGGTTTTCAAGACAACCGTTGTTTAGCTTCTGTTTCTCCATGACGCTCGCAACAAAGGGTACGTAACACAGCATGAAAACATCAGCGGAAGCAGACGTTTACTGACGAATTCAGATTTTAAGTAAAAATTCTGCATTTCCTTACAAATTAATTACTAGGCAAGGGTGAGCTATTGGGATAGAGTCATTCGGTTTCCTCAATTCAATCCAAAATTGACAGCTCGCCCAGAAGGCAACTAACAAATTGTTTTCCCCAAAGGACTTTTCTTCCGAGTCATTTAGATTATTCATCTAACCTCGTTCTCACTTTAAAGGATTTTCGCCTACTTTTTATTGTTTCTGCGGAACTGCTAAGTATGAATAATAAAAAAAGAAAAGAACTATATTTCTTTGTTATTAACGTCGTTTTCTCCGTGCACAGTGAGATCTGTACATTTCGGATCCGTTTGCGCAAAACAGCAGGCGTGATACGTAGACTGAAATTCAGCCTACGTGATGTATTCAAATTAAGATCCTGTAAATTCAAACGATATTGAAACACGGATTAATGGAACAGTCCTAAATGTGGCAGATATTCTACCTTGATGAACAAGGCACGTTGCAATTATTGGCCATCATTAATTTGCAGTCAATATGGAGCCTGCAGATTATATTTGACGAGCGAAGTCATTTTTTGTGTGCGTGTGGTTAATCGAGCGCACCCAAAATGCCTTTATCTAAAACCTCATCGTTATTTTTTTGTTCCTAAATAAACGGTTGTTCGCGCTTTTTTCCAATTCGAGGTTGAATGTTTGTTTGTATCTAGAAATATGCATGAGCTTTTAAACCAGATAATCCTTCCATCCATTAAAATCCAACCAAATTGCAAATTATTACAAGTTCAGTTATCGACTGCTACACAGGATGCTGATTTCCTATTCCTCCTATAAAGTTTCATTTTACTTTTACAGTAGCTGTTTTATATCAAATCCGATCTATAACAAAGTCTATCGCGGTTCGTTTGCGATCTAGTTGTTGACCAATTTCTAATACGTTTCTCTAATCAGTCAGCAATTATAATCAATAAAAAGCACGATCATATAAACTCAGTAATGCATTACTGAAAGAATTTCATTTTGCATTGAACCCCGCGTTATCATTTGTTTTCTTTTTTTTTGCGTGTTGCGACGTCGCCGAGAGGCCAACAGTGTTCTACCAAGCAAAAGGTTTTGCAAAATTGAACCCATTCAAAAGGTATCTTGAAAAACAGCGGTTTTTCTGAGTAAACTAGAAACAGCATAAACCTGGCAGTACTAGAGAGAGAGCTCCGTCGATATTTTTCCAAGCCTAAACTATCACGGGTTTAGTCACAGAACTAAAGTAAAACGAGATTTTCTTACGATGTGCAATTTTAAGTAAGTCGTGCACAAAACATTACAGGAAGTTGAAGAAAATCATGTCGCACCTAAAGCAAATTTGCAGGGAAGCTTTCAGGCTAAATTAAGATCACCTTAGATAGTAACCTTGACCGATATTCTGTCTTACAAATGTACAAATGCAAAGATCACTTGATTGAATTTATTGAGTATATTGTCTGGTTTCAACTTTAGTAAATTTGAAGTCAAGCTGTTAAGTTTGGAACGGTCTAGCGACGAAAAAATATTAAGTAATTTCCACTGAGCTCTGGTCTCTTTAATGGTTTTTCAACTGCGATTAGCATATTTGATTTTCAACCTGTTAATGTGCCTACACGTTTTGTTCATAACAATATACTTTATAAGAATAATGAACCTGAAATTTGCGACATTTTAAGAATATTTTAAGAATAAACCCGAGGCTGAGAGTTTGAAAAGAATACAATTTCGTGTATTGAAAATTTGTAAATACAATACAATTATATGTTTTTAACTAAACCGTATAAAAATCATTCCTTCCCTAAACGGCAAAATCGGCCCAAAAACAACAAAAACAGCACTAGTTGTATGTTCGATACTGCCAACACTTCTGCAAGAAGTTATGTGTGTCATATCAAGTTTTATTGCCTGCAGCCTGGCTCCAAAATTACTTCAACGCCATCAAAGTCATGAAAGGACTGATAATCTGACGTTGTGTCAGTATAGTCCACCTTGTATTACCATAATCTAAGAAAATTCACAAGAATATTTTCAGCCTAAAATCGGCAGAAAAATAAGAATATTCAGCCTGGAACAGAAAAACACTATTCTTATAAAAAAATGAGTATACCTTTATTAGTTGAATGGCGAGGCGCAAAATTAATAATTTCGAGCCTCAGCTGAAGCGCAGTTTCCAGTGACGGTTGAAAAACTGTATTACATAATTATTTCTTTCCTTACACTTATTTAAGTCTAAAACAACAAATATGTCACAATTTCCTACGAGCTTATACTCTACAAAATACGCAAGCTTCCCCCATAGTCTTATACTTAAAGAACTGTACATTAATTTTATAAACAACAGAAAATTGGTAAAAATAGGACACTGTGAAGTTATTTCACTGAGTTGAGTGTTCCATCAACCCCAAAATTCTGGAAACGTTTTTTAAAGATTTCAGGGAACCTCTTGAAGTGCTACAATTTTCCATTTGAGTGTTTCTCTCCCTTCTAGCTTCTCTGAGCGGTGAATTCCCACAGACTTAACGCAAAAGTCACTTGAAAGCAAGAACTTAAATCAATCAAGTGGGCATTCATTTTGATTTTGACTTGATATGCGAAGAACCATGCAGCCTGTAACTCCAATTTGATTGTTTCGTAGGTTGTAAACGAAGATTCAAAGGGCAAAAGTTCTTGTCGTTTATATTTTTCCGTAAGTTTCCTTTTGCCCCAGGGTTCGCAAGCGCTCAAAGTGATCGCTTTGGCTCGAGGGAGCTGGTGTCACTCAGTCCCAGTACTTGATAAGTCCATCCCAGCCACAGGTCACCACCTTGGATGTTTCGTGAGGATGCCACAGGCAACTGATACATACTGCGTCATGCGCCTTGAACTTGCTGCGGGAGGACAAGCGAGTTATAACGTGAGTAGTTGATGCAGAAAGGGAGGAAAACGCCCGACACGTTTCGATTTTTTGTCATGGTTAGATTAGCCTGCATAGAAATCTCGCCCTTTAAACACATGATGTTTCAAAATCATATAGTCACTAGCATTCCTTCACCAGCATTCCTTCACCATCTAGGAGATATTACGAGCCCCCAGTTGGCTTGATAGCTCAGTTGATAGCTCACCGGTATCGCAGAGGTCATGGGTTCGAATCCCGTCTAAGTCTAATTTTTTTCGGGTTTACTTTTGATACTGCTTTTTTGTCATACATACATAACTTCGACAATCTCCAATGTCTTAAATATATACTTCCCTCGCAATTCAAGTACGTTTTTATTTATGTTTCAAATTATTATTTACCGTTACTAGCGCAGAAATCTCTATTTGTTTCGTTTAGTTTGCACAAAGAAGCTAAGCGAACTATAAGCGGCNCTTCACAAAAATGTTACTGTTTACACTTTGTATTTACCTCACACTTGCACTTTCAGGTACTGATCGGTTGAGAAAAGATTGGGTATGAGTAATGCAAGCTCTTTCCTTCCCATCATACCTCGTACTAACTGAACGCACACGTCCAATCCCTTCTCGGCCAAAATTCAGATAAATAACGACTGAATACACGCAGTTAGGTGGAACTTACTGTTAGGATGAAGAGCTACAGCGGGCATGGAGTGCATACTGGGTTCGGCGATATACTTGAAATCCACGGGTATGTCCCTAAAAAAGCAAACAACTAGATGAGTTATGGATGAATTGTTTTCCTCGAAAGAAACGGGACAAAAAGGTAACAAAACTGTGTCTGGAGGAATGGGGTGGGTTCTTAGAAGAATACAAGGGTAAAAGGTGCAAGTTCTGTCGTACTACTGGAGAAATCTCGCCCTGGGTAACAAGTAACAAGTCCCTTCTACACCCCAAGAGAAAAATCGAACTTAACGTGTTGGCTGAGACATACTATCCATTACAGTTTCTCCTCAGTATCTGTAGCATTTGACACTAGTATCACTAGACTAAGACCAGGTTTACAATAGCGACATAACGACGTAATCGTTTACGTCGGTAATGTGAACATCGACATTAGGACAAGGAATAGATCCCTGTCTTTTCCTTTTGTCGTTATGTTTATGCTGTTATGTTGCTAGTATGCCATTATGTCCGGATGTTCACACTGCAAAGTGAAACATGACGACATAACGTCATTCTTATGCTGTTATGTTCATGTTGTTAAGTCGCTAGTGTGAACTAGGCTTAAGCACAGTGAGAGAGAAAGACAGACTGTTTGCAGTGAATGATTTTAATGAACTCACCACTCCCACACTCTGATGCTTTTGTCATCTGAAGTGGTCACAAATCTTCTGTTTTGATCCACAAATGTTATCGTGTTCACTGCACCAAGATGCCTGAAACGGGATGGTATTTTCAACAGAAACTCACATCAGAGTTAGCTAAGATAGCTCTGTCACACCAGGTGCAAAGTTTCGTATCACAGTAAAACTTGTTATAGTTTTGGGTTATGCCTTACCTGTCATATTCCTGAACTATCTCGTTCGCTCTCGTGTCCCACTGAAATCACAGAAAACTTCAAATCACTCACAAGAATTCCCCGACCCGATAATTATATTCACAGAGGTTGCTACATGTCAAGCCTGACAAGCATCTGAGACTTGACCCAAACTCGAACTGTTATGTTCTGTTAGTTTGCTCCGGTTTATTTCCGTGTTGCTTACATTACGTTTTTTTCAGTTCAGAAAGCTATGTCTCTGTCACGGGTTCTGTCAGTGGCTTGACTAACGTGTAGGAGGTTGGGCTACTGACGTAGTGTACAAATGGTGGCAATAAGGAAGGAAGTCTTTCAATCTTACCGTTAATATTTTCTTGTCTGATGTACCGCAAACAAACAGATGCTGCTTGTCCTTCAAAAAAAAGACAAAACAGAACATGTTGACTTTGATACTAAAAAAAGGTTTCTATTCGAAAATGTGAACAAAGAACCGTTTAGAGTAACATTACGCGTCTCAGCAGAAGCTTCTAGGCTCACCAAATCAGATGCAAAATCAGAGCTTACCACAGGTTTAAGGTTTCCCGCACTCAACACAGCTTTCCCGCGTTTCGTACAGGTTACAAGATTTCAGTTTCGCTTAGGCTCGATTTCCGCTGCTCTCTCGTGTCTGGCGGAGGAGCGCGGGCTCCTTTCCCGAACAGCGACTGATAATTGAGCCCAAGTTCCGCTTGGCACAAAGTAAAACGTTGTTGTACTTCAAATTCTGATTCACATTGGTCGTGGTCCGTGGCTATTGCTCTGACTTAAATGTAAACAGCTACTAGAAAACTACTTCAAGAAAACCTAACGCTTGTAATTACCTCATCTGGATTGAACTTGACACAATATGGAATCTTACGGTTGGTGAAACGACCAATGCATTCCCCTGGAAGACATAAGTCATTAAATTAATTTGGACGAATTCCAAGGAACGGAAAACAGACTTGTAAATTAATTTTACGGCACAAAAAGTTCTCCAAACAGCCAACCTGTTTCTGTGTCCCAAAGCTTGACATATCTGTCATAAGCAGCACTAAGGAACTGTGTTCCGGTGTTGTTAAAAGAGATGTCACGTACAGCTTTACTGTGACCTAGGATCATTAATCAAAAGAACACATACTTAAATTACTTTCTATGAATTAAAGTTGTCGCACACTCGTGACCTGGCAGATTAATAAACAGTAGAGTACTTTTTCCGTGTTTACATAGCCTCATCTCAACACGAGAGGGGTTGGGAGAATTCGAGACAATCATGCAAACCTGAAACGTGGTCAAGGGTTTACATGACTTTCGAGAATTCTCCCAGCCCCCCGAGTGTTTAGACGAGGCCATGTGAACACGAACTGTACTGGTTTTATAAAATGTTTCTCCAAAAAACGCGCAAATCTAAAACGTCACGACCGTGTTTACATACTCTCACCTAAACACACCTATCGACCAATCGGAGCATGCAGTAGCACAGTTATTTCACAAAATATTTTGAGAGCGTCTTGTACTGTATTGTACACATACCCATGAAAGTCCGAAGACACCGTCTTTTGCCATAAACTTCCCACAGCTGAAATAAAATTTAAAATAACATACCATTATATGCATTACTTCGAATTTGTTTAATTCAAGAGCAACTTAAACAATTTTACGAGGAACTGTAAACAGACCAGGCCAACCTTAAGTTCAAAATAAGTTTACAGTAGACTGGAGCTATGCCATCAGAAAACTAAGAATGAAAAAAGTAGAGCTAATATGTGTGACTTTTTCCAGCCTACGTATTGTCTCACTGTGAAGAATGAATGCGACAAGAGTCACGAGTGAAGCATGCAAAGCGATTGCACTGACTATGGGAATGGCAGGGAATGGTGTCGTCGCCCCACACACCCTTACGCTCCCATGGAGTTCTCTAGTCGTCAATTTTATGCATTCAACAAGTGTGTGAACAGTCCAGTACATGGCCTCTACTGGGCTACAATTGTAGGTATCTTTGGAACAAATTATATCTCTTGACGTTCACTTTTACCTTGATCTTACAGTCCATGCTTCAAGACAACAACAGATGGGCTGATGTTGGAAAGAATCTGATTGATGAAACACCCTTTGTGTGGCCAGTCCTAACATATGAAACAGCACAAGATTGTAAAGAATGTTTATTTATCACACAGCCTGAGTCAAGTTAGAAAAAATCCAGCACAGCCTATTTCAATTCTTCTAAAAAAATAAAACAAATAAAAATTGCTCTCTGGCAATATAAAAACTTTAGTTTCCATTATGCCAAATAACCTTGGTTTAATGTAACTTTTAAACCTCAGAAAAAATAGTCAGGATCATAATGTGATTGGTTAAGAGCTATAAAATAAGACACTGACATACACATATTTTACTCACCAAGTGTGAATATGTTTCTTCGGCAAGTAACATCGTTCGGGTGGCTGGTCAGTGTCCAGTTTAATATCAATATCTTTTGGAATGTGAAGGTAAGATCGACCTTGGTAATCTGTTGAATCTTGAACTGGAAAAATAAACAGGAAAGGGGAAAAACTTGTATTAAAACTAATGAGATAGACAGCAAATACACAGAGATGAAAGGAATCTTCTCATTTTACTAAAATAATGTTCTTCATGTTTCAAAACAGTACATGTACAATGCATTGAGTCAAGGATTGTTTACCATTTACATGAAGAAACTGGTTCGTCAATGGTTTGCGCAAATGGTAAGCAAAATTGCCTGGTGGATTAGATTGGCCATTTATGATGTACTCAAAAAAACCTAACTTACCAAATGAGACTAGAACGAGTGCAACCGGATCCTAATTCTAAGATGGCAGTGAAGAATAAATGATAAGCACTTTTTCCAGTTGGAAATTTTGGTTAGAAATTTTGGATTACCTTTCAAGACGTTCCATTCATTCTGAAAATTTGCCCGTCAGTCGAGCCATAAATTGGATTTAGTTACCATTTACATTCTGACCAAAATTTCCGGAATGTTTGGGTAAATGGTGGACTACCACAGTTCCTGCTCTCTTACCATGTAAAGTGGTCTTTTCTTCAACACTCTGTTCCTCTTTCTTACTTCTCTTTTGTTTTGTCATCTCAAACTCTTCCAGTTTAGCTGCTTGTTCCTTCAGAATTAGATTCAAACAAAGTGCCAAGTCTAATCATTACTATTACATGATATATTTTACATTTAATGCAAACTATCAATTTTCCCGATCATCTTACCTCAGAAGGTTTAGCCACTTTTGCTTCATCGACATATGTTGCCCAAGGACCTAAAAGTAGACATTAGTAGCTTGGTTGAGCTACAGTAGATGCAAAGACAAATCATTCCATATGGCTTAAAACACACAATAGTATATATTTCAGAAGACAAAGCATCTATATGCTGAGAGATTGCCTGGCCAGTTCTTGCCTCTCTGACCGGCCAAATGTTTATTAAACCAACAGCAAGGGGTCTAAAAATTATCGCAGTTAATAAAAAATTATAATAACAAATACATTAGCATAGCACAAGCCATCCTCCATTTCCAAACATACTTACTCACCAACTAATCAGGGGTTTCATTAACATTATTTTTCAACAGGAGGACAACTTGTTTTCACAGGCAGGCAAAACTATTTGAACTGAATTTCTTCATAAGAAAAACTTTCCTCTAGATGGTCAAACTAGGCAGGCAAAATCATCTTTACAGCTGGTCAATTTGCTCAATGCCCAGCCCTAATGAAACCCCTGAACTACATGACTTTTTGTTTGTAATCTTAGCAACTTATGTGGACCGTTAGGGACATTTGAACCAAGCTGTATGGTCCTGCAAGTCTCCTGTAGCTCAGTCCTGGACTATCTGACCCATGCGAAAAGGCCACCAGTTTGACTCATGATGGGAGAGCAAAGAGTTTTTTCCAAGTAGATTGTGCCACTAACAGATATATATAGATTACATTTATGTTTCTCTACTGACTTCACCTTTGTATCCTTCAATATCTCCTGGGTCACCGGGTTTTTCTCGCTTCCTCTTGTCACCTGCTCTGGCTTCTGCTACTTCGAATATGGTCACACCTATGCCAAACACAATCAATTACTTTCTCCTTTCAATACCAATACATTTATAAAGAGACAGGAAAGGAGAATACAGCAAATCATCAGCTAAGGAATATTGCTTGATACACATTCATTGAACAGTCAGAAGTCAGAATAACATTTTAATTTATAATCAACCACTGGGTATAAAACTGTTAATTTCTTCTCATCTAAAACAGAGACTTAAGGCTTGGGGTTAAGCATACATTGTAAAGTTTGATGCGAACAATCTCTAAACTTTTATCAGATTTTGGTACTTAACGTTTTTCACTTTTTATACTTAATCATCTGAAATTCAGAAAGTAGCTTTTCTGCATTTTTTTAAGATTTAGATGACATGCAAAAACTTCAGCTTGACTAAAAATTCACACATGTTTTTGCACAAAAATTACCCTTCTGTTCACTAGTGATTCACAAGTTGGCTAAACCACTGCACAAAAAAACAAGACAAAGTGAAAACGATTTTCTTTTCATCTAACCTCATTTAAATCATTAGTACCTTTCCTTTCCTCTGCTTTTTCTTTATCACCAACAAGCCTTTTTCCAACAAAAAAATATATATATTTACAAACCAAATAGAACACACCATTTTTTAAACACAACTGTTATTAAAATGAGCACATTGAACTCTCCAAAAGTAAATAGAACTCAACTCTCTTGTGTTCCTAAAATCTCATCTCTCGTATAGCTTAACAATGCACAAGGAACAAGTCTTAAAATGTTCACAAAATTGTAGATGCTCAAAATATTTGTGACTTAGGTTTCAAGCATTATTGCATGCTTATTGAGCTGTAATGAACTCAACTGATCAATCATAGTGTGCACAGTTCCTTGAACATTTTACAATCACAATGTAATCACAGTGCAAGTATAAAATCAAACCTGTCACCACCAGGACTGTCTATCCCTTGAACACTGGGATCCAAAGCATAACCTGTTTGGACAAAAACAAAACAAAAGAAAAACATACTGATAAAGCAGTAATAAATTAACAGAAAGTCTAAATTTCAAAATTTCTACATACCATAACTCGTAAAAGTTCTTCTTTGGGTTTCAAAAGTAAAGTCGCTCATATGAGCAGGCTCAACATACCCTGTAACCAAAATAAGTAATTACACAAATCAACATCCTGTGTCTGCCAAGTATATTAATTAGAAACAATAATTGCAAAACTTAAGTCTGCCTTAAACCCACACATCCAGAATTAATGCCTTGCTAGACAGCCAAAGAGAAAAGTCTGTTCTCCCAGGTCACTCTTTTTCCCCTAAATTCTTGTGATCATATCAGGGATGCATTCAGTGCGGGAGAGGGGGATGAATTGGGTGGCTAAGTGGCTGGGTGGCCAATTCTTAAATTGTAACATTTGGGGGGCATGCCTCACTGAATCTGCAATCCCAAGGTACCAGCAACTGCCCCCCACCCTCCTCTTTTTGAAAAACCCTGGATCCACCCCTGCATCTCCTCAGGCTAATCATNAAATTTCTACATACCATAACTCGTAAAAGTTCTTCTTTGGGTTTCAAAAGTAAAGTCGCTCATATGAGCAGGCTCAACATACCCTGTAACCAAAATAAGTAATTACACAAATCAACATCCCATGTCTGCCAAGTGTATTAATTAGAAACAATAATTGCAAAACTTAATTCTGCCTTAAACCCACACATCCAGAAATGCCTTGCTAGACAGCCAAAGAGAAAAGTGTGTTCTCCCAGGTCACTTTCTTTCCCCTAAATTCTTGTGATTATATCAGGGACACATTCAGTGCGGGAGAGGGGGATGAATTGGGTGGCTAAGTGGCTGGGTGGCTAATTCTTAAATTGTAACATTTGGGGGGCATGCCTCACTGAATCTGCAATCCCAAGGTACCAGCAACTGCCCCCCACCCTCCTCTTTTTGAAAAACCCTGGATCCACCCCTGCATCTCCTCAGGCTAATCATTATAATTATAACAAACAAATAGTTACACTATGAACCCCTTTTCTCTTGTCTTCCAATTCAGGAATTAAAGAAAAACAATGGTTTTCTATGGGAAAAAATACAATTGTTGTTTTTTCTCAATTTGTAAAGTTCATGTTAACATATTGTTACTTTTACGACAACAAGCCAAAACATGTTAAAATAATTTATTACCAGCTAGTGTATTTTTTGATGCTTTCTGTTGTTTTGTTTTAAAGGGATTTGATGGTCCAACCTGTTGATAAAAAAGCAAAAGGTTCAAGTGGTCAATAAAATATATTTTTTGATATTTTATTGATGGTTCATGAGTTGTGAATAATATTAATAAATCAAAGTCTAGGCTTACAAGGAAAGGATCTGAAATATACAATCGGTTATGTTGAAAAAGTATGCAATGTTATGATTGTTGACTTATCGTGATCATTCCATGGTACTGGTATAATTTTATTATTTAGAAACTTCCAGAGTTGAATTTGAACATTCCTAATACTGTAGCTAAAATAGTCATTTTTTTATAGTTTTTTAAACCATAAATTTGTGATATATTGGAGCTCAGGTGAGTCAGTGAGTGCACATTGGTGTGTATGAAAAAAGTGGCAATCAATAAAGCATTTTTTAACCTCAGGAGAAAACATTTCCTCATATCTTGGATTATAAGTGACCTCCTTTGTTGTGGGATCAACCTGCCGAACGACACCAACATCCTCCTGTGGATCATGAAAGCAATGGAAGTTGTAAGAGAGTGACAGACTTGAAAAACTGTGCAAAGCATGGAAGAACTAAACAAGATCTCACAAGTGCAAGCAACCTACAGCACTGGAAGCTCCGTCACGGTACAAGGTTGTTGTTGTTTTTTATTTCTTTAAGGCTCTCAAGTACCTAAAGCAGAGCTCTCAAAAATGATATTAATTGAAAAAACGAGGGTCAGAAACAGAAGAACTGAAGCTATTTCCCTCCTGGTGGGGGATTTTTCATTGAACATTGAAGCATATCACAAGATAACTCCAAGTGTAGTACAGAATTATAAATCGAATCACCCTAGCATTCCTACAAACCTTGATTATTTCCCATGCTTACACTTAAATTAAACAAAGAAAACTAGTTTAAAAAAAGTAATAATAACTTAACTGACAGTCCATAAAACACAACTGTAACACCAACCTTTGCAGTGACTGTTGGTGCACTTTTAAGCTGGATTTTGGACTGGAGTTGTGATATGGAGACTCCAGACTTCAGATGTGCCGTATGATCTGGTGTAACTTCTTCTTCTGGGCTTTCATTTCCTTCAGAATCGCTATCATCGCCATAAGCACTCGCAAGGGCCTCCATTGCCGCCATCTTGTTTTAAAATTGGCCAGGTCACCAAGCCAAACTTGCAGTGGGAATGGAAGAGGAGGACTGGAAATCCAAACGAAAGAAAACAGGACAAATGGAATTAAACACCCCGGCAGGGACTCCCATATGAAAAGGTCGGAGATGCTCGTCGGAAAAGTTGAACTAAACCCCTAAAGGAGACCAGTCGGGGCTTGGCTCGAGCTTTATTTGATCCCTAAAAGACACTCACTTGGAACGAAACAGGCTCGAGCGATTACCAGTCGCCGGACCCCAGCCACCGTAGACTACGAGTAGTCCCTCTTTCGCTTAGTTCGTTGTGCGAGACGCACAAAGAAAACCGCGAGAAAAAAATGGCCTCTCGCCCACAGGAGTTGGCGTGGCCATTTTCTTCTCGCGGCTTTCTTTCGCGTCACACACGACGGAAAGAGGTACTCGTGGTCTACAGCCGCTGTTTAGGAAAGGAGCCCGCGCTAGTAGACCGGACTCGAGATTGCACCCTAAAAGATACTTTGACAGCTACAAATAGTGGCTTTTCGTCATGAACACCCTAAGAGAGACCAGAATCCCTGATTTATTCCCGTGAGACGAAGAGCATCCCGGTCTATGGATCCACAGCTACTTTGACAATGTTATGACGAAATTCATGATCAATAACAGGACAGACACATGAAAAACTGACGTCAATTTGTCAATTTGAAGTGCAACACGTCCATGATCCTACGCGTACCCCGCTCCAACGGACGAAAGGCACCCAAGTACCGCCCTGACAGTTTACGCTGTGTTCATTCAGTAGCAGAAAATGCTTGCCTTGTCTTGCGCATGCAAGACCACGGCACAATAGTTTTATACTCAAGAAGATTTCCCAGACAGTGAACAAAACAATGAAGAAAATTGTTTGCTTTATTTATTTTACTAGGTTCCCCCCTCGATCTTAACGCAACAGTAAAATCCACCTTTCCTCTGGGATGAACTGATATATTCAGTCAGTTTTCACTGACTTGACGATAACAGCTTCAAGAAGCCAAAACGCTGGAAAAACGATATCCCTACATCGGTTAATACAAAATGTAGTATTAAAATATTTTCCAGGAAACTAGATGGCTTTATAATACCTTATAGAAAATACCGCCAAATTACTTTGTTACATCGATTAAAATCTAAAAGTACAAAATCAACGCTTGGACGATGTTTTCATGTTGAAATCTTGCCAACATCATTTTCCCAGTGAGAAAAGTCACTGTGGATTGAGTTATTTGATTATAGATATCTCCAATTCATTCCTACCTTATTTATTAATTGAAAATATTTATAGAGGATTTCCGTGGGGTTTGGTCAAAATTTGAACTATCAGCAGAGAAATGACGCGGTTTTTTTTAACTCTTTTAACTGATTGGCGAGATCTGTCAGATCTGAGATCTGCAAAATTTACTGTTAGCCGAGAATTGGGCTGAAGCTTTAACTGAAAGCTGGGAAACTAACCAACCCCCATTCAGACCCTCGTGGAACCTGTTTACACTACCCCAAAGGAATTTAAAAACCCAACAATCACCGATTTTGAATTTATGTTTGAAGAAAACGCGTTGAGGGAAATCACATGATTATCGTGACGTCATCGTTTTCGAAAAGCTCCGTTTTCAAAATGTTTTCCGTCCACACTAACACACAAAGTCAGCGTTTTCAAATGCCTCGAGTTTGCAGAGCGTTTTCGAAAAGCTCCGTTTTCGTGACGGATTAAGTTTGGACGGTAGACCTAACCGTATAAATAAACCTGCGTTTTCATATTTCTCCGGCTTAGTGTGGACGTTGCCTTAAACACACTATTCGTTGCACTGCAACCCTTGACTCGCAAATATTTGAAGCATCGTCCAGCACTGAATTTTGTATTTTTGTTCAAAAACGGTTAAATTATCAAACCTATAACAACTGTTTATTGAAAGTCTAGACTTGAAAAGTCATTTGAACTAAAAGAAATTGAAAATACACGTCTAACAATATATCATAATTTAAAACAGCGAATTTCAATCTAGAAACAAAATACAAGTTTCGTAAATAGAATGACGCTCCGAACTGACAAATCGTTCATTATAAAATAAAAAAAACACTATGACCCAAAATCACAGATTCTGGAATAATAAAAGCATACACTAAGGAAGAGTGTTAAGCAAATTTTTTCAAGCCTTCCGCTGAATATGAACCATTCCTATACTGTGGCTTTTGTCATTCAGTAGTAACAAGAGGAAACTTTGCGAAGATGAGAAGTTACAGTGATAATACTGTGTCTGTATTCAATATTCAAGTCATGAAGGTAAACAGGAAATTTGTCCTGCAAAAGAAAAACAGCAAAACAGAGGTCAATCTTCTACAGAGCTATTCAACATCTAGATTTTTCCCACTGGTTATGGAATATTTTTTACAACACTTCTTTGAAGATCTTATCATAATGAATGAATTTAAGTAATAAATAGACACCAAATGAGAAATTATGATAATCCAACTTTAGAAGTTAATGATTAACTCTATTTCAAAAACACTAACTAGTGGTTGGTCAACCAATAGATAGCACTATCCAGCATTTAAAAGAACCAAGCCTAATTGGACTGAACAATAAAATTCACTTACAGAATGTTCTAAAGCTGATCATCATGTCATTGTCCTCCTGGTTGAACAGGTGGTACAGGCACTTCCCCAGGGGGTCCTGCCATTCCCTGTTCCCCCTGGGGGCCTGTTTCTCCTGGGGGTCCCCGTTCTCCCTGGGGTCCGGCAGGCCCTTGAGGTCCTAAAAATAAATTCTAAATTAGCAATAATTAATAACTTTGTTTTGAAAAAATTCTACTCAATAGCTAATTGTTAATGACCAACAAACATTTTGGCAATAAACTGTCGTCAGAGCAACCCTTTGGGCCGCGACAATTACCAGCTGCCGTTTGGGAAAGGAGCCTGCACTCCTTTCCTGAAGGAAAAAAAAAGGTTGAAGGGAGAAAAAAAAAATCTCTTCTGGGGGAAGAACATGAACCATACTCGAGAGAGCCGTGGAAATTGAGCCTATCCTTTAGGTAATGCCAACAAACTTTAAAAAAGTATGTCTAATGGAAAGGAGGAGGTTGTGAATAACATAATTAAAGGGGAAGCTTTCTTGGGCAAGAATCAAGCATTGTTCTCGTTACCAGTCTCTCCATTTGCTCCATCCTGTCCTCTCTCGCCTGGAGGTCCTTAAATGAAATAAATTGAAAAGAAAAATAAAATAACAAGGATCAAATCTGGAAACACTGACAGTGAAATAATAGACAGTCACATTTCTGGACTTTAAGCCACAACCCCCTGGGGGTATTGGGCAGGAAGAAAAACACAGCCCAGTATAAAAGCATCACAACTTAAAAGTTCCTGTTTTGCTTAAGATACAGCAATAAAAGTAGGCACGCACTAGCACACATGTTACAGGGACACAAGGCGGTGGCTAGCTCCTTCGTGTGTATGCATAGGATACATTTTGTAGGGACGGTACAAGCTGGTGCACACAAAATAGATATTGGTTTATTACTATAATGTTGTAGCAAGGACAGTTTTGAAGAGCAGTGCACAAAATGCTACATTGAAAATTAAGGTCACTTTGTCCCCTGCATCATGACACAAAATTCAAGCCAGCTTAATTTCATGTAACGTGCTGTGGGGACAAAAGTTCGTCCCTGCAACATAAAGTTTTGTAAAAATGAGCAAGTCACATAAGGGAAACTGTTGCTTTAAGATGTCCCTACTACATGTAACATGTCCCCCAGTGTGTGCGAACCTAAATATTCAAGAACATACCTTGAGGTCCCTGTGGACCCTGGCTTCCCTGTGGTCCTTCTGGACCAGTTTCACCTGTGAAAAATACACCAGCTCCCAATCAGAATTGTGCTTTTCTTTGGGATTTTTTCTATTATGTGTTCATGGCACTTTTACTAAACATTTTTGGTTGTGTAATTAATCTCTCATTACCCACAACAAAAAATAAAGTAAAGGTGCTACTGGAAAAAGCTGCTGCTGTCAAGGGAGAAAACTTCACTTCTGAAAGAAATTTGAAAATACTTTTGCCATGGAGTCTGTTTGTACTGCTAAATGAACTAGGTATTTTCTCTAGAACTGTTGGATTATATTTATGAAAATTCCAGAAACATTCAGTAGATTTTCTTGCAGATACGCCGTATTCCTGCTGTTACAATGTAGGTATTTATAAGGCACATGGCTTGTCAACAAGTTTTGACATAGTACTTACCCCTCTCCCCCTGGGGACCAGTTGGGCCAGCTAGGCCTGTCTGACCTGGTCAAAGAACATTATAAATTTACATCATTCAGCATTTAGCATTTCTGGCAGTACAAGCATTTGATTGCCTGGGTTGTCCCATTCAAAAAATTAGGCTGGGACAAGAAAATAATATGTACCAAGTAAAATGAAGTTAATTATTATTAATGAAAATATTAAGCTAAGAACCTTGTCACATTTCTGTTCAAACATTGTCTGATCAAAAATAAACGTACCAACCTATCCCACAGAAGACCTTGGCTAAGAAGTCTATATGATCCTTGAAGCTATTTTAGAAAAAACCTTTTTGTTTTAATCTTTTATTCAGTATTTTATCAAACATCAATTTAGGTAACATTTAGTAATTCGTTGTTACATTTTTAAAAAACAAAAGAAATTAATTATATCACATTTATTTTTTATATAAGGAGGTTTTAATAAATAATTAAAAAGAAATTTACATGTACCTTCAAGTTAACAATTTGTTAAGTGTTCCAGCTTAAAATAATGAGAATTTATAAAATTTAATTTAATTTCAGATTTTTTACACAAGACATGTTAACACACATCATGATCAGGTACCTTTTTCACCCAGGTCCCCTTTGGGCCCTTTTTCACCCTGAGGGCCTTTTCCTCCAGTGGCTCCTGTTTCTCCTTTCTCACCTGGGAGCCCTTGAGGGCCTGTCTCACCATTTATGCCAGGTGCACCTAAAATCAAATCCCAAAATGTCCCAGGGGACATGTTAACCATCATCACATGATGACCTCTTGGTAGGGAACATCACTTCTTAATTCCATCTATGTGGATAGGTACAGATTTTCTGAGACTAGGCTAATGCTTATAAATTGCTGTCAAGGGTTACAAGGCAGCCATTACAATCATGTCCCATGGAGATTTCTGGATTTCTGGATGTTTGTGTAGCTGCCACAGTAACAAGGGCATATGGTATATGGTTTATTTTGCCATGTAGTCCATGCTTTTAGCCATTTTACAGTTGCCTGATCAGTGACCTGGCCTTTCAATGGCAGCGAGGCAGGAGTTGACCTTGTTTTGATACAGACCTTACTTTTGTTGTGTAAAACAAGTTGTTCCGATGCTAACTAGGTGCATTTACATGACAAAAGCAGTGAGGTCTGTATCAAAACAAGGTCAACTCCAGCCT